AGATATTGTGATTATTCAATGAGGGTCCACAGAAGCCTGTGACCTTTTGGGGATGGGGATCGGATCCAGGTCTCCTTGTGTCTGTTCAGCGTCAACACGGCATAGGCGGCCACCATCCAAACACACCACCCACAACTGCTTCAAGGGAAAGGGGGAAAGCTATCGAGGAACGGCCAACACTACAGCTACGGGGATCCCATGCCAGCGCTGGGATGCCCAGACACCTCACCAGCACCACTTCTTGCCTGAGAACTATGAATGCAAGTGAGTCCTGGAAAAGAAGGAAAGAGAAACAGAAAGAAAGAGACAGACAGAGACAAAGAGAAGGAGAGACAGAGAAAGACAGAGAGACACACAGAAGGTCAGAGAGATAGAGAGAGATGAGATAGAGACAGAAGAAGAGAGTGTGTGTTCACTCATGCCCACATATTGGGAACAGGAAGTGGTGAGCAGCCCAGACGCTGGGCTCTCCCTAACTTCAACAGGACCCTCAATGCTGTGTAGTAATCCTCCAATTTACTTTTTGTTACTCCCCACTCACTATATTCCATGCAGCATTTGTCCTAAATCTTTTCCTCAAGCCCCCAAATCTACTCCAACATGGCACCCCTTTGTAGATGACCTTCACTCCGTATTTACTGAGAAGGATAAGGCTCTCTGTCATGGCAACACAAGATTTAGAGCTGGTAAGGACCTTAGGGAGAACAAGTCCATCCCCATCATTTTATGGGTGAGGAAATTGAAGACCAGAGAGAGGGAGCAGGGGACTTGCCCCAATTACCTGGATAGTAAGTGGCCGTAAGCTTGCATCCAAACCCAGGCATTCCACCATGTCTATGGGAGTGCCCTCCTCACCTCTCCTCCACTCCTCTGTATCTCTCTAATTTCTCTATGAGCTGGATGACTTTCTGTCCCTCACAGTCCTCCTCCTTGCCTCTAGAGGTGTCCCTGATTCCATTCCTGCCCATCTCCTCTTGGGCCTTGCCTCATCCAGCATCCCCTCTTTCTCTCCTTCTCTGTTGGTTCCTGCTCTACTGCTTACAAATGTGCTCACACTTCCCCCCTTGTCCTAAAAACCCCTTTTGTACTCTCAAGCTATATCTTCCCCTTCACTGACTTCAGCCAAGCATTTATTGAGCGCCTGGGATGTGGAGAGAAGATGAAGAGGCAAAGAAGTCTTTCTGGATAAGATCATTCCCTGCTACCTGGGATGAACTTTGAGATCCCCTTCACTCTGCCCGCCCCAGTTGTAACTGGGGTGTGTAACTGGGACTTTGACTCGGGGTTCAAAAATTTAAGGGATGCTGGTAGCGCTTGTACTTTCTTCAGCAGGTAGGAACAAATGAATTTGGTATGTAGAGAGCAAGAATAATCAGGTAGGAAGTGACCAAATGGCCTACTTCCTTCCCTGCCCCAGCTCTGTGCTGCTCCCTCCCCTGGCAGTGGCCTCTCAGCAATCCCTCTTAGTATGTCCTGATTGTTTTCCTCTCCCCCTTCCCCTGTATAAGGGGTCCTGTATTCTGAGCTCTGAACTCTCCTTCTCTTTATCCCCTCTACAAGCACTATCTTAAAAAGGTGATCTGAAGATGCCTTTCATGACTTTTGCCCTAGGTTCAAGAATTACTAAATATTTACGGTTCCATTCTCAGGGACTTACGGGAAAACTTCTGTCGGAACCCAGATGGCTCCGAGGCTCCCTGGTGCTTCACTTCTCGGCCTGGCATGCGTATGGCCTTCTGTTTCCAAATCAAGCGCTGTTCTGATGACATCAAGGTAGAAGGTGAGGGTGGGGAGTGGGGGAGTGGGGAGCAGGATTCAGGCAGGGCTTGGGTCCAAAGTGTCCCTTTTCCTATCTCCCCCCTTAAACTCCTTCCATGATGGTCACTTGGAGGGCAGTGACCCTCTCTGTTTTGCCTTGGTTCCACAGACTGTTACTATGAAAATGGGGAACAGTACCGGGGCTCTGTTAGTAAGACCCGGAAGGGGATTGTCTGCCAACACTGGTCCCAGAACACTCCTCACAAGCCTCAGTGAGTATCGGGCTCCTGGGGCAGACAAAAGGAAGGGTATCATTCCTGGCTTCCTCCAAACTCCAGCCCCTAGCTCTTCAAACCTACCCTGCTTAACCTTGGTCCCTACTTTGGAGCCACTGTCTATTCTTTCCTTAACCCTACCCGTGGCCCCATTGGAGACTGAAGGGGTCAGAGATAGTGATGAAGGTCTCCCAGGTCAAGAGAGCTCTGGAGGCAAATTGGGGGTGGGCTGGGAGAATGATTTGGAACTTCTTGCATTTTAACCCTTTCTACCACCCCCATCTCAAGGTTCACACCTACCACTGATCCACAGCTGGAAGAGAATTTATGTCGGAACCCAGATGGAGATAGATATGGTCCTTGGTGCTACACTACTGACCCTGGAACCCCATTTGACTACTGTGCCCTCAAGCCCTGCAGTGAGTCCCCTGTACCCCATCCTGTCCTCAAACAGGCCATCCCACTTTATTAGTTTGCAAGGACCAGGATTTTTCCATGTGAATCAACAGCAGGCATTTTTACTGATCAGAGCTTTGTGCCCAAGAAATCTGGTTCCTGCCCTCACAAAGCTTATAATCTAGCAGGGAAAATAAGACTCTACCAGAGACAAGATAAGGTAGTAATAGGACCATAGGATTTAGATCTGGAAGACATCCTCTAAGGTAACATTTTTGTTTTATAAGTGAGTGAATTGAACTAGGATTCAATTTACTCCAGATCCTCTGATTAAATCTAGCCCTGTCCACTATTCCAAACTGCCTTTCAAGGGCTGAGTTCTCTCCCAAGGATAGATCATTTCAGAGGAGAGATCACTTCCAGAGGAAGAGATCACTGTGGCTGTTGGGGGATGGAGTGGGATGGGATGGGGGAAGGTTTTACTGCATGGACTGTAATCTTCCTCCTCAAACCAGGGGATTTGAGTTTCTCACTGCCTTTAGAGTAGAATTTGACCGAGCTATTGCCTTTGGGACCCAGCTTGCTACAGTGACTTTTCGTCTTACCTTTATTTTTTCAGATAATGACCCAAAGACATCCATCCTGGAGACCCCAGGTGACTCAGGGCCTGCCCACCTGCCTGCCTAGTGGGAGTTGTGAGGGCAAGAAGGCTCTCAATACCAAGGACAGGCAGAGGGGCCACCTTTGCTTTACCTCCTAAGAGGGGTCTTGGCCCCCCTACCCTGCAGATAGGCTCCATCCCTATCCCCTCCCAACTCCTCCTGCTTTTTATGGCACCAGACCCTGTCCCTTGTGTTCCCCATACCTGCCTCTTTCTTAGCTCCTTATCCCTCTTTGCCTCCTTAATTCTGAAGGCACACAGGACTCTCTTCCTCCCCTATTCCCAGCTCCCCATACCTTTTCTCTTTCCCTCCCTGCCCCCAGACCCAGTGCTCTTTGAGGAGTGTGGCAAGAGGGAGGAGCGGAGGTCAAGGCTGTTACGGGTCGTGGGGGGCCGGCCTGGCAACTCGCCCTGGACAGTCAGCTTGAGGAACCAGTGAGTCCACCCGAACATGCTGGAGTCTGTCATCATCTAGCACTGCTAGTAACTTTGGCACGTTTTCTGTAACTTACATATTGAGAGCTGCTTAGGGTACTAAGAGGCTAATTGACTTGCCCAGGGTCATATGTGTCAGAGGTGCGACTTTAACCCAGGCCTTTCTGTTTTTGAGTCAAGTCAGTAAGCATTTATTAAGTGCCTACTATGTGCCAGGCACTGTCTTTTCAGAAGTGATTTTTCATTATATCATACTGCCTTTGTGAAAAAGCAGAATGAGGTTTGACCTCAGTTATTCCAATGTATCTGACCCTTGTAGAAGGCCACAGACCCAAGTCCTTTGGGAGAACTCTTGGGGAAATAATCCAAGACATCATGTGTGGGAGGGGTGGGGGGGTTGCTCTGTCACCTCTATCACTGACCCCACCTTATTGTATCCAAGGCAAGGCCAGCACTTCTGTGGCGGGTCACTGGTGAAGGACCAGTGGGTGGTCTCAGCTCTCCAATGCTTCTCATCCTGGTAAGAGACCTTGTCAACTTTTCAAGGAATCACAAGGTAGTTTATATAGGGCCTGGCCCCAACTACCTTGTGCACCTTTAGCCCAACCCACCTGATTCATTTGTCCTCTTTCATGTGCCAAATGTTAAACTGATTCCAATTTTGACCTTCCTGGGTCTACTTGACCCATTTTCTAGGCTAACTGCCCAAGAGTTTTCTCCTGAACACGTTTTCACCCCTTTACAATGACCTATTTCTTGACTCTTTGTGTTTCTCACTCATCTCCCTCATCAGGCTTGGAAGCTCCCTAGGACAAGGGTGGGGGAAAAGGGATATGTCTGCTTTGGCTCCAGAGAACTCAGTGAGGACCACAATTCCTTTCCTCCAGTCATGGCCCCCTCACGGGCTATGAGGTCTGGCTAGGCACACTCTTTAAGGACCCTCAGCCCAGCGATCCTGGACTACAAAAGATTCCCCTGATGCAGATGGTGTGTGGTCCTCCGGGCTCCCAGCTCGTCATGATCAAACTAGAAAGGTACTTGAGTGGGTGGGGATATTGGCCTGCTTCAGAGGAGCACAGAGGCTCTTCTAGCTGGGGGGACCTTGGATGGAAGGGAATGTGGCATAGGCCCATAGCCACTCCTCATTATTGGGCTGAAGTACTTGGTCAGATTCTGGTAACAGTGGGAACTCTGGATCTGTTTTGTTTTTCCTTGATAGGATTAAGTGAGTTAGCTAACAAAGATGGTCACACAGGAACGTGGGTAGAATGTCTACAGCATGCTAGATCTGCAGGAAGGATGCAGGTCTAGGCTTCAGGCCCTAGGTTTCAGAATTCATCTCCCTAAATCTGGGTTATGGGAGATTGGCCTTTGGCCTTATCTTTTACTCATTTTTTTCCCTCTCTTACACATTAACTGGTCTTCCTTTTTTTCTTCCTCGTGCTGCTAACTAAACACTTGAGACTACAAGAATGTTTTCTCAAGTTTATTCACAAAGTTAATGAGAATATGCCCATTCAGTAGGGCAAAGGAATTTGAGAAATTTAAAAAAGGGGATGTGGGGATTGCCCAGTCCTAAGTGACTCAGTATTCCATCTGGCTTTTGTCCCTCCGGCCCAGTGTGGATGGGCCTGATTCTCTCTAGGTTAGAGTATCTAAAACCCTCCTGACCCTGGTATCTCCCATCTAGGACTCTCCAAAGTAAATTCTGGAATATGCTCAGCTAGATGGATTTTATTGGTCTCCTTGATCACCCTAGGCTCACAAAACTCCCAAGTGGGAATCCCTCTGATGAAACTGTGAGTTGTAGGTCCACATTTCTTTGAAATCACTTAGCTCACTACCTTTCCCCTCCCAAGAGGTAACCAAGAAAATACAAAACAAGCACAGTGTTTACATCACCTTAAAAATAATAATAATTTAGAGTAATACCCAGATTGCCCCAAGGCTAATCAAAACCTACCTACCGGGCACAGGGGAATCACCGGTGTAAAGTCAGGGACATTGGAGCTGGAGTGCCGGCACTCTGTTTGTGAAGGTGCTGACCATTGACATCATTATTTGGGGGAAGGGAGTCCAGACCTGTGATTTCACTTGTTCCCAGGGTAGATAGTGTCCACGTACTGGACATGCATCTCCATCAGTGAAGATTTGCCAACCCGTTGTAATTTATAATCTTAGAGAGCTGTCAGGAACACTGAGAGGTTGAAGGACTTGTTCATGTTCACAGTATGTGTTAGGGGAGAACCTGAACTCAGGTCTTCCAGGCTCCAAGGTTAGTGTGATACCCACTGTGTGGGGCTGCTTCTTATTCAGTCACATTGATTAAGTACCTGCTCTGGCCCAGGCACTGTGTGAAGCACAGAGACACGTTTAAAATAGTTTGTTTTCACTCTATCCATCAAGAGATCATATGTATACATTAACATTTAAGTGTGTATATGTGTGTGTGTATGTATGCATGTATATACACATATATATGTATGTATATATGTGTGTGTGTGTATATATCCAGAATAAATGTGAAATAAATATAAGGTAATTGGGGGGTGGAAGAGAGAGGTCACTAGAAGCTAGGGAAATCAGGAAGGGCTTTGTGGAGATGACGCTTGTGCTGAGTTTTGGAAGTTTTTGAAACTTAAAGGGTTCTCAGAGACTGGGTGAGGCAAGAATGCCTTCCAGACACAGGGAACAGCCATTGAAAAGGCAAAGAGATTAGAGATGGAGTATATGCTTGAAGAATGGCACTGGTTTGGCTAAGCATGGCAAGGAGATGAATACATAACAGGCCTGCAAAGGCAGGTGGGGCCAGGCTTTAAAGGCCAAAGGGAGGACATTTATATGATCCTAGAGGCAATGCGTAGTCACCAGAGTTTAATGTATGGAAGGACGGACTGATCAGACCAGCACTTTGGGAAAATCACTTAGCAGATTGTTGAGAATGGCTGGAGCAGAAACTTGAGGCAGGGAGAGACCAAGGAGGAGGCTCTTGAAAAGTCCGGGTGAGAGATGATGAGGGCCTGAAGGAGGGAGGTGGCTATGTAAGTGGAGAGAAGGGGCCAGAGATGAGAGATGCAGAGGCAGGAATAACAAGGAACGGTAACTGACTCTGAAAGAGTGTGAGAGGTGAAAGACAGTGAGGATAAGGTGTTGAACTTTGGTAACTGGAAAGACAGTGATGGCCCTGACAGAAATAGCGAAGTTCAGAAGAGAGAAGGTTTGGGGGAAAAGGTGAGTTCCATTTTGGGTACACTGATTTTGAGATACCTGTGGGATGTTTAGTTTGAAATAAGCAACAGGCAGTTGGAGATGTGTGACTGGACTTCTGGAGAGACTGGCTCTCTCTATCATAAAAACTGGCATTTATGAAGTGTTATTTGAGCTTCACAACCACCTTGTAAGGTGAGAACTCATTATTATCATTCCTATTTCACAGATGAGGAAACCTTTGCTCAGAGAAGTGAGTGGCTTACCCAAAGCTGTACAGCTAGCTAGCAACTATCAGAGGTGGCATTTAGACCCAGGTCTTCCTGACTTCCAAGTCCTGACACTATCCTTAGGGTCAACTTGCTTCCCATCCATTCCCCCAACCACAGTCATGATACGTGTTGACCTCTGATTCGTGTGACATTTTTCCCCTGTAGACTCTGTGCAGGAGCTGAGGTGCTACTGAACTTTTCTGAGCCAGGCCCCTAGACCAGGACTATTTGTTGATACAGAAACGTGGGCTTTGGGTTGGTCCTGAGCTTTTTTTCTCTTTTGTGCTGTCCCTACAGACCTGCAGTGCTTAACAACCGTGTGGCCCTTATTTGCCTGCCCCCTGAAAACTATGTGGTGCCAGGTAAAACCCAGTGTGAGATCGCTGGATGGGGAGAGACCAATGGTAAGGAACATGATAGTCCCAGAGAGTACCATTAACCTTTATCTCCCTCCATGGATACTCCCCTTCGGAGGCTGCTCCTTGATTGGATTACCTTCCTCCTGCTGCTGTCTGAATGTTGGCATTGCCCAAGACTCATTACTTGGTCTTTTGCTTTTCTCTTTCTTTCTGCATGTTGTCAAACCCATCCACCCCAATGGCTTCAATAACCATCTGTGTGCAGATGACTGCTCCAGCTCATTATCCAACTGCCTAAAAATCCACCTCAACGTGCCACTGGCACCTCAAACGAGTGCTGGGCCAAAAACTCATCTCTTCCCCAAACCATCCTCTCCTCCTGCCTTCCCTGATTCTGTCAAGAATACCCAATTTCTTCGTCCCCCTTTCTCAAAGGCTTCAGCTCTTCCCTCTCCCAACCAGAGCTGGTCAGTTATCAAGGTTGATAATTTTCTTCTCCATCTCTCTCACATCCTTGCCCGCCATTTCCACTGTCACCACTTAGTCCAGGGCCTCATCCCCTTGTATCTGGCCTACTACAATATCCTCTTAATTGATTTCCATCCAACTCAACAAGCATTGATCAGGAGTCTACTACAAGAAAGGGAGTGCTTCAGTCCTCTCCTCCATACCATCCTCTGCTCAAAAATCTTAGCTAACCCCCTCTCCCTCCTCTTTCTAACTCCTTGGCCTAGCTTAGCATCCAAGGTCCTGCCCCCCTCTCATCTACCTCTCCAAACTTGCCTTACATTATTCCCTTCCACACCTTTGCTTACCAGGGTTCTCTGGAGACGGAATCCCTCCTTTCCCTTGCTTATCTGAGTCCTACCCATCCCTTGTGCCTCTTCCTTCCCACATATGGGAGGTAGGATGGTACAGTGGAAAGATCACCTCTGGATCACTCCTAAAGGAAATGGAATTATCCAGTTAGGCCAAATCTACAGCCCTGAGCTGACCGTTATTTTCTTTTTTAATTTTTTTTTTCATAGAACAAAAAACTATTTTCTCTCTCTTCTACTTCTCCTGCCTCATTAGGAAAATGCAGCAAACATGCATAGTCAAGCAAAACAAATTCCCACATTGGATACGTTCAAAAACTATTTCTCACTCAGAAGTGAGTTGTTTATCATCTCTGTCAAGAAGTGGGCAGAATGAGTTATCAGTCCTCTAGAACTGTGGTTGATCAGAGTTCTTAATTATTTCAAAGTTGTTTGTCTTTACAATATTGTTATTGGAGAAACTGTTCTGGCTCTGCTCACTTCCACCTACAACAATTCATGTAAGTCTTTCTAATTTTCTCTGAAACCAACCCTTTCACCCTATACAATGGTATTCCACTACATTCATGTGCCATAGTTTGTTCAGTCATTCCCTAATTGATGGGCATGTCTTTAGCTTCCAGTGTTTTGCCACCACAAAGAGCTTCTGTAAATATTTTTGTATATGTGGGTCCTTTTCCTCTTTCCCTGATCTCCTTGGAGTATAGGCCTAATAGGAGTTTTGCTGAGTAAAAGGGCATAGATGCTGTAGGCCTTTTTCTAGAATGCCTAACTGGTCCTTTCCCCTTCTACTTCTGGGAGGAAAGGGGTGTGCAGCCGTTTGTTGGCTGGTGCTGGGAAGGTTCCAGACCATACTATTCTCCCCTAGGAACTGGCAATAACACAGTCTTGAATGTGGCCCAGCTTCGGGTCATCACCAATGAAGAGTGCAATGTCAAGCATCGGGGCAAGGTGAAAAAGAATGAGTTATGCACTCTGAGCCCAATGGTTCCAGTAGGGGCCTGTGAGGTATGGTGACATTTGGAGGCCTAGGGGCTGGGGGAAGGGAGGAGGTGGGAAGGTAGAAGGAGCTGCCCTACAGAATGCCCTTACTTAGATAGCACACCCCTTGGATTTTAGATTGACAACTGAATGCCAAGGCTCACTGGCAGTGAAGTTTATGCCTGGGAAGGATCCCACCCTGGGCAGTCACCCATGCCTTGTATCCCAAGGATGAACCTGGACGGGTCCCAGGTGGTTAGTTCCCCACATTGGGATCCAAGGATCACAGATTCAGAACGGTGGAATACCTTAAAAGGCTACCTAGCCCAACTCCCTCATTTTTTTTTTTTGCTTAGGCAATGGGGTTAAGTGACTTGCCCAGGGTCACACAGCTAGTAAGTGTTATGTGTCTGAGGCCAGATTTGAACTCAGGTCCTCCTGAATCCAGGGCCGGTGCTCTATCCACTGTGCCACCTAGCTGCCCCTTCAACTCCCTCATTTTATGGAGAAGGGTGAGGATCAGGGAGGTTGTGACTAGTCTAAACAGTATCAAAGGTGGAATTTGAAGTGACTCCAAGTCTGGCACTATCCATGACACCATGATGTACGTCTCAGAGAAGGAGTTGTGGTCTTCTTGTCCCCTTAACAGCTATTCTGTTCAAGTGTCCCCTTCCTACAATTCCCCCAAACCTCAAGGCTTCACTGGTACCATTCCTTCTCCTTCCAGGGGGATCATGGAGGCCCACTGGCCTGCTATACCCATGACTGTTGGGTCTTAGAGGGAATCATAATCCCAAATCGTGTCTGTGCCCGCCCTGGATGGCCAGCTATCTTTTTGCGGGTCTCTATGTATGTTGACTGGATAAACAAAGTCATAAAACTGAGCTGATGGAGGTGAAGAGGAAAGGTCCTTTCTTCAGTGTCCCACTTCCACCTTGGCCTTTCTCTTATCTCTACCCATCTTGGATTCTTACTGATGCTCACCTAAGCCAGCTTTTCTGGCCTCCTGTAAGATGTAGCTCTGGCCTCACCTTCTCTCCAAGAGGCCTTTCCTGAGGATTCCAGCTAAGGCCACCCCTCTAAGGTTATCTCCCACTAACTCTCTATTTATGTTCTGATTTACATGTGTTGTCTGCCCCATTCCAATGTAAGCTGCGTGAGGGGAGGGACAGCTTTTGCTCTTGCTTTGTGTCCCTAGCTTAGGACATGCCTGTCACAGAGGAAGCACTTAATAAATGGTTGTTGAGAGCCTGCTAATGCTGCCATCGTCAAGGCCCTGGGGTGTGGTGGTGGGATGGAGAGCACAACGGGCTTCGTTGTCCTACAAGCATAAAGCCCTCCTGTCAATGGCACTGGAGCGTTTCTTAGTCACTGTCTTTCAGGGGGCCTCAAGCCAATCCCTCCGCCCTGTGGTGCACACTCGGCCCCTGCAGCCACCCTCTCCCTACTCTGTGGGGAAGGCTGAGCCAGCTGGGTGCTGGCAGTGGGGTGGGCACTTATTTCCAAGTGGGACAAGCTTCAGCTTTCACCAAGGACTCTGGAGGAGGAGGGCTCCTGCTGCTCTCCTAAGAAAAGAAGCCAAGAAACCCATCTTTTCCCCAGGGTCATGTTTATTAGCACATACCTCTGCTGAGCACTGCTGGGATCTGTGGTCCACAATGGGCCTAGTACCTAGTCTTAGGGGCCAGCCAGAGTCAGTCATGGGTCACAGGAATTAGCTAGATGGCCTTCGGGAGATGTAGTTCAACTCCCTCATTTAGTAGATGAGGAAATGGGCCAAATGCTCTTTTCTCTACATCTTGCTTCTCTCTTCTTGAAACCACCCCCTAAAGCACTAAGACAAGGGCTCAGCACTGAGCCCAGCCCTGGAGGCAGCTGGGTTCTGATCATACAGAAGGGCTTGCAGAAAGTGCCCAAACTCAACCCCAAAGAGCAACTTTGCAGGTTAGCAAGTGGACATCAAGATACCCCTTTGCACCCCTATTGCCCTCCAAGGTGGAGTCAGACTGGACAGGCCCATCCTGTAGAATCCTGGGCTGGAGGCACAGATGGCTCCTTGCTGGTTCAGCTGAAGGACGTAGCCTACTCCTCAGCTCTCCTTTTAAGACAGGCCAGATAGGGAATATGGAAGGTGGTCTCTCATCTCCCTCCAGCCTGGGAAGGGGTGTAGGCCCTGAAGGGCTACACCGTACATATCCTGGGGACTACATTCAGGATGCTCCCCTTTAGCTTATTATGAATCCCTTGTTAAGACAGCTTGGCGAATGGAAATGTCAGTATTGTGTTATCACAGCATGGGGTAAGAGAGAGAGATCAGGGACAAATGGGCAGGTACTCTGATGCTGCTCCTGGCTCCTCAGCATTCCAGGTGTGTGTGCAGCCAGAGGACGGTATTCATGAAGCTATCAGACTCCACTTCCACCTCAGAGAGCGAGTGGTTGCTCTTGGGATACAGCAAGAACCTGGAGAACACAGGCCATCTCACAGATCCATCCTCCCTCTTCTTGGCAGCGTGCTAACTCCAAGGCATTGCCAGGCTAGGCTCCCTATAACTTAACTCAGGACTTACCCTCCAGGCTCTGCCCTGACGGTCAGCCTTCCCCAGCCTACCATAGGCAAGCCCTGCTGAGCCAGTCACTTTTCTCTTGAGCAGTTAGTCCCCGAGAGGAAGCAATCCACTTGCTACTACTCACCGCACAGGGACCTTCCTGGCTACAAGAGCCCGATAATACTCCACACCCTGTTTGTAAGGAACACGCTTGTCTTCTTGGCCAAGCATGAGGAGAAGGGGTGTCTTCACCTGGGGAGGAGGAGAGGGAGAATGCTCTTGTGTGTGGTCTAGCTCCTCCCATGGTGAAAGAGCAGTGGGAGGGCAGAAGGAGGCACCGCACCTGAGAAGCATACTTGATTGGCGATTTGTTCAGCATCTCTGTCCAGGTGGTGGGCTCAGGGAGGCAATCAGTAGTATAGAGAAAGCCTGCTTCTACCATGCACCTGTGGAGAGGCCAGACTGAGTACAGAGCAAGAAGAGAAAGATGGCACGATACCAACTGGCCTTTTCCTTCAACCTTTCCCCAACTTTGTGGGGACAGTCCAGAGAAGTCACTCCCTGGCTAATTTTCCTCCTAGGGTAAGATGGGGCCAGGACTATCTGGAAACTCTCTAGCAGATGCCATTGGGATGGGTCTGAGGTCTATGGGGGCAACCTCTCAGGCATGTTTACTCTGGCCTGTCACATGCACAGTGAGAAGGTGATCTTTCTCTAACCTCTGGGGGGTAAACTGCTGATACTCCCAGAAAAGGGGGGGGCATGGGGTTAGGGTTGGCTCCTTGCTCTCCCCTACCCACCTCTGGTGCAGGGCACACTCACCAGTCAGGAATGTCAGTAGAGCCGAACATGGAGGCCACATTGATGACAGGATTCCTAACTATACAGGCCCTGTAGGTATCTGGATACTGACCAATCAGGTGGCAAGACAGGAAGCCCCCATGGGATCCACCCATGAGTGCTACTCGCCTCCTATCAAACTTTTCCTCCTGCAGCACCTGTTCCACCGCAAACTGCAAGAGCAGAGAAAAAGCAGCCGTGGGAGGTCTTCCCTGGGCTTTCTCCTCTTCCACGAGGAAGGCTGCAGCCCACAGGGAAAGGATTAAGGCAAGAGCATTTCTGCTAGGCCTTGGCAAGCAAGTGACCAAAGCATACAACCTGCCATTCCCTTTGGACAGCAGGGATAGGCTGTCGGTAAACAGCCCAACGGGGGAACCTGGAGGACGTAGCAGATGGCTCTGACAGGGGCCTGGCAGATGGCAGGCCTCGGACACTGCTGATCAAGGGGGCAAGGAACGAATGCAAGGAGATTCTGTTGTGTGGGCCCCACAGAACAGGGGTCAAAGGCAATTCGGGAGATATGTCTGGTCAGGACGGCTGGGACTTTTGTGTGGGAGTTGTTAGGTGACCCCAGGGCTCACAGGCACTAAACTGTCAGGCACTTTGTAGCTTTAGGCCTGGCCACAGCAAAAGGAAACAGTCTCCAGCTGAGGTCCTGGGGTAGACCACACGCCCCAAGCTATGGTTATCTCAGGGCTAAGGAACCAGCTTTTCATTCCCTACCGAGGTAACTGTGCAAAAGGACCTCTCTGCTCTTCCCGTACCTGAACATCCTTCACATCTTGGTCTCCCACATTCCCAGGGAGGGAATAGATGCTATCCTGCCCAAAGCCTGTGGAACCTCGGTAGTTCACTGCAAACAGATGGAGAGACTGGAGAGGTGATCAGGGCAATATCCCCGTCTGTGTTGCATAGAAGGGAGCTGCATATCTGGGGGCGGGGTATTATTTTTCCCTTCAAGTTCCTTGTGCTGCTTACGCAAATAAGTCTGACCATTTTTGTAAGTGTTAGTGCCCAGTTGGAGTGGTCAGCTTAGAACTTACAATCAGACAAACAACATCGTGTAGTGTAAAAAGATTACTGGGTTTGGAGCCAGAGGACATGGGTGTGAATGCTAACTCTGCCGCTTCCAGGGCAGCTAGGAAAAGCTCCATTTCTGCAAGGAGCCAGTGATGTTCCAGCAAGAGATGGTGCACTATCACCTTGCCAGGGTGTCCCCCCATCACATCCTGGCAGGTGCCCTCAGACAATGCTTCTCACTCACCTAGCATCACAGCAAAGCCCAGCTTACAGAGAACTGCAGGGAAGAGCATCCAGCTTGCTACAAAGGAAAAATGGGGTCCCCCTACAAGACAGGATGAAATTAGGTGTGAGGAGCTCCAGAGGGGAGGTTGGGTGGGGATTGTCAGCCGGGGAGAGTGGGAAACCTACCATGAGGCATGACCACAAGTGGCATCTTGGACTTCTCAGCTGTGCTGTGGGGCTGAAGGAGGATCACTTCGAAGTCAAGGCCAGCTACAAGGGAAAAATCCAGGGCAGTCAGCAGGAGAAATCTCAGTGTTTCAAAGGATTTTCTTAGAAATCGTGAATTTGCTTGGCCAAGAGAAAGGCTTCCACTAAAGGGAATGCCATGGATTCTTGAAGGACTCAGAGAAGAGGTCAAACAGCTTGTCAAAAGGCCCGCACAACCGCTGACCCCCTGCTGTGGAGAGCCCCAGGGAGCAGGAGCCTGACAAAGGCTGCCAACATGCACACTGGGCGGGCTGGAAGCTGGGCCTGCTCTCCCAGAGATGGGGATGAAGGTAACAGCCTCAGTACAGACCTCAGTAAACAGGAGGTAGGGGCCTTCCCCACCACCTTCTTTTCAGACACCTCAGCTCTAGTCCTCCTGACTTTTAGCCGATGTTTTTCTGGAGCCTGAATGCATGGGTATGACACCGTCAAAGGCCAGGCCCTTCCTCTCCCTCCCCAGCCCAAGAGCTAGAACTCTGACATGGCTGGAGCCAGGAGTGGCTGCAGCCACCCTCTGGCCTGCACACAGAAGCTGACTGCCATTGAGGAGGTCATGAAAAATTTAATCGTGCTGCTTTCCCTAAACTCCACTCCAAGAATCTGACATGCTAAGTGCCTCACCTATCTGGCCTGAAGTTTCCTGAATACTTGGGTCCTGACACTTGGGCCTGTGATTGTTAGAACTGAGCAGCCCTTGTGAGACCTTGGACAGAGAAGAAAATCTGTGTTACTCCTCACTCAGGTCTTCAGTTTTCCCACCTGGAAAACGAGGGGGTTGGACTAAATGATCTCTAACATTCTTTGTTCTACAATCCCTTCTAGCCATGATGTTCCACGTTCTGTGAGTCTAAAGCAGTACTGATATTAGCTCATGTTAAGTCAAATGGTAACCTTGTAAAGTTACAACTGATTGAAATACCAACACTGGTACAATAATGGCCATACAAAAGTAACGAAGTCATAAGGCAAAATCTGAAGATAGTTACTAATGCCATACTGCATTGAAACTGCCAACTCCAAACGTTCCCAGGGATTTTTGCCTGTGGTGTACCAGAGAAGCACAGCAGAATCCACCCTAAGGAACCCCTTGGGGACATGAACGGAGAGCGTGCGGAAGGAAGGGCCTGTCATTTCACGGAATCTGGAGGAATTAGCTTCTGCCTTTCTCAGGGGATCCTTCCACTGGAATGCTGCTGCCCCATCCCTGGGGCCATCCCTAGTATTCATGTCCCCGACTCCCTTCCCTGATGACTCCCGCTCAGACTCACGGTACTTTGGGTTCTCTTGCTCAGGAGGAGGTTTCAGGACACGGATGGCCCAAGTGATTTCTGGGATGGACTCTGCCTCTTCCAGGGTTACCCAGAGGATCTCTTTCTCCTTCCCTGAAGGAGGCAGGAACCCCACTTTCTACCAAGGAGAGAAAACCTGTTATAGAACAGCCTGCTGGGTTTAATTACCTTCTTCACCCCATTCTCTTTCTTTTAAAAGAAAAATTCTGAAGTCTCTTAAAATTGCCACTGGATCAGAGGAAGACGAGAGAAGATGTGCTCTGTTGTGCTCAGTGTAAGGGCATGATGTTGAGTAAAATGGAGAACTTCAATTTTACAACGTACAACTCAGTCAGTTCACCACACTCAAACTGATGACTCATCTAGGACGTCTCAAGTTTGACATGAATTGGTGGGGGATGGGCAGTGAGCATATGACAGACGTTTTGTAACAAGGTCAAAGGTCCTCACTGAGGCGTGCCTTCCTCTTCAATTAAGCCTTGGTTTGAGCCTCAAGGTCAAAATACAAAGTCTGACTAAAAACTTAAACATACACTAGAGGGCAGATCCTGGACCTGACAATCTGACACTCTGACCCAGGCTCTCTCCTGAACTTTGGTTCCACATCACCAACCACCTATTAGGCATTTCAAACTGGACGTCCTAGAGACATCTCAGACTCGGTACATCTGAAACAACTCGTCTTCCAGGTAAGTGAAACTGACCACATCTGACACCATCTGCAACATCCTGATCTAAGCCTCCTGCTGTTGTTCTGAAAGGAAGGAGGCACATTCCGGTCATCTTGCCAAGCCCACACTGGTACAAAGGAAATATCGCCACCTTCTTTCATTCCTGCCTCAGGGGTGGGCAGGGTACGAGGCTGAGGCTCTTCTACCAAGAAAAACTGTTCCCATCTCTTTTTGGTCTGAAATAAGAATGATATGGCTCTCTCCATGTAAGACACCCACTACCCACAGACCTGGATGCGTAACATTAAAATCTGTTGGACCTATCCTAGCACTTCCTGCAACTTTTAATGGAGAAATCAAAAAGCGGTGAAAATTGAAGCACAGGGCAAAAACTGGTCTAAGTGTCCAGGCACAATCTTTCCCTGTAGAATCCTGCTTACATGTGACCCTGTGAACCTGTTTTTTCCCCTGTTTCAAAGGCATTTAAGGTACTTACCAAGCTTGGTGGTTGGTTGGGAGAGGAAAACTGTACTAGCATGAGGTCTTGGTCAATTGTGAGCAGCTTCCAGCTTCCCAAAGGCAGCCCTAGAATGCAGCAGACAGGGTGCTGAGGGACTCTTTTGGACACAAATGCCTCACCACTCCCCTAGCCCCTGAGCAAAGTTAGGTCCTACTATGCAGACCCTTCAAATGTGCTGAGTTCTAGGCAGGCTGACACACTCTCCCTACCCTCAACACCATGCCAGTGTCTCTAACCCCAGGCACAGAGTCGGTATTAAATAATTTAGTACTTAATTATTTTGTCAGATACTGTTAGCTGTTTTTCTTGCATTCGCTGGTTTTCCCGGCAGATTGTGAATGCATTAAGGTAGAGAACAGATCTCACACTTGTATTCAACAATTCAATTGGCTAGCACAGGGCTGGGGATACACAGGTGTTCAATGAATGCTATTTTTGGACATGGCCATTTGAGAAATTTGTTCTGCTTGGCTATACTACTTGTTTTTCTTTTTTTTCAATGGGAGGTGGATAGAAGGGAGAGAAAAGAGATTTCTGTAAATTGAAAAATAAGAACATTAATTCTAGAAAATGTTAACTGACTGATACGTGTGAAGGCTGATTTGCCCCAAAGAAGGATGGGCTTGTAAGGCTGTTGCAGCCCTCACTGGAGCAGCTCACATCCCTTGCCTATTGGTAAATCAGAATGTGCTGCCCAGGGGATCACGGTGACTCTGAGCTCTCAAGTTTTTGGAGGGCACTGAGCTAACACATTCCCTTGCTATGCCATACCTGCTGTCAGCGAAGTCACGCTGCCTGTTTGGGTATTCACTGCAAACATATCCTGTAGAAGAAAGGGAGACAAAAGTTAGAGCACTAGCTCAGCACCAACTGAGTATTTTTTACAATGAGGTTTTGCATTTCTCTGTTCTTGATGGTCTAAAAAAGATACAATCCCCACGGTTTACATCAGTATCTTTCATTGTCCTCAAGTGGGCAGCTGCCTCTTTATAAGAGTCAAAGCTCAGTGCTTCAATGACTCATGGTATAACGGAAAGAACCCTGGATCTGGACTTGGGAGGCCTCAGTTTACATGTCAGCTCTTGTATCTCCTGCCTGTGTGACACGGGCAAGCTGTTTCACTTCTCTGGGCTTCTTAACATCTGTAAAATGTGGATATTAAGTAGCCCTAGATCCTCTGTCTCCTTTAGCTGTCTTGGTCTCTGACAGGCAGGAAAAAGAACACAAGCTTTCCTTCTGAATCCTACCATCACCATCACTGTCTAGGGGCAGAAAAACTCAGAGAGGAATGAGATACTTACCCAATGGCCTATGGGAAGTGTCGGCAGCTTTTTAGTGAAGATAAAGCTTGAGGGAGGTGGGAGGCTGAGTTGATTCCCTAGGGGAGGAGCCTCCAGTTTTGTGTTAACTGGCCAGAGATGTAAACCAGAGTTTCAAGGGCCCCAAGAAGGACAAAGTATGCCATTTCCAAGCACAAAATGTTGCCCAGCAACAGCAAGAGGTGCCCATTCTCCTCACCTGTTGGCTCCGCTGGTCAGAATCAAAGACGACTCTCTGACTATCAGCAGACCAACACCCCAAAGGCAACAGGCTACAATAGATTCCAGAAAAGTGATCTAAGGAAAAGAATCAGATGTGTAATAGAATCTTAGAAAACACATGACTTACAACAGCCTTTTTACCACCCAAAGAATAAAAATTTAGGCCTCCGAGAAGGAAGCTTGAGACTTAGAGATGGAGAACAAGGGTCACTTGGAAACTGTCTGTTTCACCGCTCAGAAAGGAATGAGAAAGACAAGAGCACAAGAAGGTGGACTGTTCCCATCACGTATCTTTGGAACCAAGTTGGACTGTGGAGGTGAAGGTGGAAAACAGCTGGTCCTGCAGGATTAAAAAGCTACCCCAGGGAGAGAAAGAGAAATACTATTTCGGGCTAGAATTAATCCCTGGGTGAGAGGAAGGAGGGCCCATTAAGGCCAAGGAAAAGCAGTCTTTAAAGCTTTCTTGGAAATCTAGCTGAAAACTATCGGGGCCCTAAGGTGGATATGAGTTTTAAGGGGAAAAAAATTCCAGGGTTGTTAAGAATAATCCTATTAAAATAACTGCATAGAAGTCTGGGCATGAAAAAGAGCTTGAAAACATGTATAAGTCTATGGGGCATCCTGTAACATAAAACCTAAACCACAATTATTTGCCAATGTTTCTGTATTTGGAATGTAGATACTCCCTAATCATGTAACTGAGCGCATGCCTATTTCCTCATCTGTAAAATGAGGACACTAATACTTTTGCAGAAAGCATTTGGCAAGCATTTGATAAGCAAGCGGTATTGTTATTGATTCTCTTCGGACAGCTAGACCTGTGCTATTCAGCTAGGTTAAAAGACACAGAGATGGGTATTTCTGGATTACAGTTACCATTTTATCCTCCTGATGCCTAAGATGCATAGCAATACTAAAAGCCATCTTAAAGTGATTTAGGATATACTCGCTAACATGTGGGCCGTCAACAAGATAAGGCTTGATTCTATAAGTAAAATCATATTCAATGTGCACACAACATGTGTATGTATAAGAGAGGCAGCTAGGTGGTGTAGTGGATGGAGATCTTGAATTAGGAAGACCTGGTCTCACATCTGGCCTCTGATACATACTGGCTGTCTAACCCTGGCAAATCACCTAACCATGCCTGCCTCAGTTTCTTTAGTTACAGAATGGGGATAATAATAGCACTAACTCACATGGTTGTTGTGAGGATCAAATGAAATAATATTTATGAAATACTTAACACAGTGCTTAATAAATGCTTATTCCTTCCTCACCTGTGAAATCACAGGTACAGTCTCTATACCTCTGTCTGTAGAGTACATACATTTAGGTCTAGTGTCAATGGCTTTATCTGCATACAAAAGAAACTTAAGGTGTTGACCAAAGGCACATGCCAGAATCACCCAGGTAATTCTGGGATCGTGCCAAGAAAGCTGAATGCTGACCACTGACCAGATGGGATCTTTGGGCAGAGGAAACAAGTGGCTGATCAGGGTTACATGGTGTTAATGTCGCAAGACAGAGGAAAAAGGTACCAACCCAAGAGAGAAGCTCCTTTTCTGCAGAGAAGGCATTTCCGGTTCTTAGAGAAGCCTCATATTACAGAGACACATAGTTGCTCTCAGCTCCAAAAAGGGGGACTTACCAACCCACTGAGCTCCTTGAGGAAGGTCTTTCATCCAAACGGTATCAAGGCCCTAAGCCCTGGAAAGCTTCATCCTAATGGATGTTTTCTGTCCCCAGAGGCAGGACTATTTCTAGTCACAACAGTAGCAAGGGCTGCTCAGGCCTGGCTGGGTCTAGGCCTCATTAACTCTATTGCCACGTTTAGGTAATGAGGTCATTACTTGGTTACAGACTTTCAGATCATTTTTCTAGGAGAGGACAACTCAACATAGGGTGAACTGATGAAGCCATAAAAGGGTTTTCTTTCCAGCTGAGAAGGTAATTTGTAATCTTTGAGTCTAGATCTAAACTACACCCCCCCAGGCCAGATCTTCCAATTCTGAGACAGGAGGTGATAGCCTAATAGGGAAGGCTGAGTAAGCAGCGGCTAATTAGTGTCCTCCACGTAGCCCTATTGTGAGGGGTGACCATTCTCTGCACATTCCCACCCTGGATTAGTGTCATACGGCAGTAGCTATTGACGAGACAACAGCAGCAGGAGTCTACTTTTCTGTTTACCCATTGCTTTCCTCACAACAACCCTGTGAGGTGAGAGCAGATGCCGATCTCTCACTTTACAAATGGGGAAACTGAGGCTTAAAGGTTAAGCACTGAGTGCAGTGCTCTTTTTACCAGGCCAATCCTCTGAGAACTCATCAAATCCACACAGAAATCTAAGGCAGGCAGGCAGGTAAGTTCTAGCCTAAGGTTAGAGCTGACAGGTATAAGTAGTCCCCTACCAACTGAACTGGTGAAGTGATCCTCCCTACAAGGACAGTGACACACGAGACTCCCCCGAGGTAGCTACACCAGCAGCTGGAATATTGAGGTAAAGACACTGCCAACCTCTTTCCCAAGGGAGATGGAGGGAAATGGAAGGTGAATAAACCTTACTACCCACCATCACTCAAGGCCTGTAAAATGACTACTTTCCAAGGTACGACACCCCAATTAGAAGAGGTTTCCTTAAAAAGCTAGTTGATGAGGTGTCCAAAGCCAGCCAATGGTAGAAAGTATAATCCCTCCCCTAGTATGCAAAGCTGCAGAAAAGAACCAGCCCCCACGGCTGGCCTGGCAGGAGCTGACCTGCAGCACTGCTCAACAATCACCCTGGTAGCATTTCTGCAGGCTTCCCAAAACACCGAGGTTTCCAAAGATCCTCCTTAACAAGGGGGAGACTTTGGCACCCAGAGCCCACCCCTGCCTACTAGCTCTGCCTCAGTGGGTCTCATTTTGAGGAGCACGGCACCTCAAGACGAAGGCTGCCGTGCCAGTGTTGTTCATTCCAGCCGAGCCAAGTCTGCATGGGCCTCTCCAATCTGACTCTAGCCCCCTTTCCAGCCTGATGTCGCATTACTCCCCTTCAGGCATTCATTCTCTGTTCCAGCTAAATTGAACTAGTGCTGTTCCACACACTGAACATGCCAGCTCCCGACTGTCCTTTCCCACAAGTTCTCCCTTCTTCTTGGAATGCAGAGCCTTTGGGAAACTGCTCTTCTGTCAGCCGGTGCCAGCCCTTCATGAAGACTCCCCTGAACCTCTAAAGCTGTTAGTGATCTTGACCTTCTCAAGGTAGCTTGTTTGATATTTATCTGGGGGTACTCCCTCTGGGAGAATGTAAGCAAGCTTATGGGGGCATTTAGTTTTGTCTTTGTAGCCCCAGAATCTGGCACGTGTTTCTGCTGAACAGAACTGTATAAGGCATGGGGGCTCTGCCCCAAATCTCAGGTCCTAAAGGGCAGCACGGTATAATGGAAACGAGACTGGCTTTAGAATCAAGAGACTGGAGGTCTTCCTGTGACCTTGGGCAAGTCGCTTTCTGTCCCTGGGACTGTTCCTTTTCTGTAAGAGGGGTGCACTGGTCTGGTTATAAAGTCTTAGAGCTACCAATTTGTGTTGCAGTAACAAGTTTGAAAATGGCATCTCTGCTGACTGTGCTTCTGCTGTGAATGGCTGTAATAATCCAACTGCTGGGGCCTTTGTTTCTTCTCACACAAGGGATCAGGAGAGGGCAGTAGGAAAGCTTTAATCCTGCTAATTCCTGACAAAAGATAGGTTGGTGGAGGCAAATGATTGAGAAAGATTTGTCAAAGATTGACAAATGGGGCACAGAAATCATGATTAATAACTATCCCGAGATTTTCAAACATACCCTGTCATCAAAACTACAGGATAAGGATGGCCAGGCACTGATGCCCAAGTTACAGTCCTCAAACAAGTAATTACAAGTCATCAGCATCTCACCTTCCAGCTGTCGGGGTACAATGTCCACCACGACCAAGGTGACCTTCGTGTACCAGTCATACTGAAAGAAAGTATGCAAACAGTCAGGTCTCAGCTGATGGAGTTTCACATATTGACCCAAATGGGCTGCCAGCCCAATTCCACCTGGGACTCAGAGAGTCTGTCCCATGACACCAGAGTCCAACTTTTAACCTGGCTCAGAAAGGCTTTGGGGGTTAGTGTTAGTGATAGGGAAGAATCCTTACTGTCTCTAATAGCATCTGCCTGCCTACAACCTAGACAGATCTTTCCTACTGTATCCAGATAAGATATTAACACAGGCTTATACAGGTGCTTCTCAGGGAGGTAGACCCGTATTGAGATCACTGTCCAACCACCCAAATAAAAAGACAGAACCCCAAACTGCCAAGTGTGGTTTAGGGAGAGCTCTCTAACCTAGCAGACAAGAATCTTGGCTCTACACTGGTTTTCCCTCATTACTTAGGGCTGTACCTCCACTTCAAGGAGAAGCTGCATAGATATGCTCCAGGATATGCAAAATCAACCCAGTCAGATTTATTAAGCACCTACTATGCCCTAGGCAATGTGCTAGGCCCTGAAGATACAAATACAATAAATGAAACAATTCCTACTCACATTCTAGAAGGAAAAACCACAAGGACATATATTCACATATGCAGAATAATGCCAAATATCTGTAGCTACTACAATCCATGCTCAGTTGCTAAGACTGAGCCTGGATTTTACAGAACTCACTGACCCACCACTGCCTCTAGCTGAGCAACAATAAATGCTCATTCACCAACAGTGAGAGCAAGATACAAGACATGCTCACGTGGCCCGTAGAGAGGTGAGGCTGGCCTGTCCAGGACATTAGCCGACTCCCTCCTCTCCATCCTAGAAAAGCAATACTCAATGGCAGGCCTGCTCCGGACTCACCAAGCACAGCTGGCTGCACTGCTGATGGGGACTGAGGTTTGTGTACCGCAAATAGACGATACGACATTGGTCTGGACTTAGCCGGGGGGAACACACAGCCACGGAGTCATCCGAAAGGAGCTCTGGGACAAGAAATAAGGGGTGAGAAAGGGCACGTCCTACACACTGAGAAGAAGGCGCAACACTGGACTTCAATCCTTCAACCACTAGAACAAAATTTAAGAGATGGAGACAGTTGGGTCATTGTGACATGTTTCGTTTCTCTATTGGTCTGCCACTACTGAACTTAGCTGTATGTTTTGCTGTATGATTTAGTCTTTGAACCATGTTACTGATAATGCTTGCATTTTTAAGAGTTGTGTGAAAGGTGTCTAACAGTAAATATTCCTATTTCCCACTCTGTTTAGAGGTTTAAGTTAAGAAAGAAAGAAAGAAAGAAAGAAAGAAAGAAAGAAAGAAAGAAAGAAAGAAAGGGATCTGTGCTGGTAGGACCTAAGAAAATTAGATAAACGCACAGAACACAAGAAGTAGCTCACTTACCACATTTGCCACCGGTGAGGTCTACGTAGAACAGAGCCGACCTGGAACCACCAGAGAGATTCTAAATTGCCCGGCTTGGAGCCTTCCTACTCCCGTTATTTCTTCACCCCCTTGACAACACATTGGAGGAGAGCTGACAGGGAACCACAAGAGTACAGAAAGACCCAGGCCCCCAGCAAGTAGCCAAGCCAAGTACAGGAAGCACAAGGAAAAGTTAGACCAGCCTTGCCCATTCAATCTGTTCCCATTCTTCTCACCTGCGGTTGGTACAAGAACGCATTCCTAGTCGGAAAGGCTCATGCCACCAGCCCACAAACACCACACCAGTGTCACCAGGAGACCAGAACGCCTACGTGATACAGAAAACCAAACTCAGAGCAACCAGTCAACTGGCCTGAGTCAGGGGAAGCATGGCCAGAACGAGAGGGTCCCCAAGGGGCCAGCATTCACTGAGGTTTGTCACACACACACACACACACACACACACACACACACACACACACACACGGGATTTCACATCGCATCAACACCGCTTCAGTGGTGACATTAGAGAAAATGTCCTATTCAGGATTCGTCGAAAAACCCCAAGCTTTTATTGCTGAGTGGGTCCTGTTTCTAAACCCTCAGATGACCATCCTTGGAAAGACTGTTCCTTTGTCTTGGTCAGGAATAAGAGAAAGCTGTGCTGACCTGTCCAGGGGAGACATTCTCTGGGACTCCTTCTAGCACCGAGATGTTCCCACTTTCAATATCCAGAACACACAGGACAGGGATGCTTTTGGAAACCAAATTTTCTCCCCAGTCTTCATGAAATATATACTGATCTCCCTGAAAAAAAAAAAGCAAAAAAACCCCAAATACTCTCAAAACCCAGAAACTACAAAAAACACTCTCAAACTAGTTTTGATCAGATATTCCACACCCTTAAACCCCATTCAGATCTTCCAAGTGATCCCTTAACTACTGTCTTAAGGTTATCATACTGAACGCTGGTTACTGCTCTAGCAAAGATGGACAAAAAAGGCCTCCCTTTAAGCCAAGGAAATGTATACAAAGGATTAGGGCAAAAACCAGTCTGCACCTTGACTGCTTGGTCCTGTTTCTTTGGCTTGGTTGTCTCTTCATCACTGAACTCCAAGGCTTTGGTGTGGAAGAAAGACTCTGTCTTGGGACGTTTCTTCTCAGCCACATAGAGAAGGTGGCTCTCTGAGTGTGACCAGGACAGACACCCAAAACAATCTAGGAAGGAAGAGAACTGAAGTACCTGAATCTTGCCTGGATCTGGATTCTCCAGTCACTCCCCATCCCTCCCCTTATGGGTAGCTAGCTGCCTTCCAGCTGTCTCTTCAGGCTACGGATAGGGCTGACTTTCAATTTATAACAATAAAGTAGTACATTAGCATAAGTGACTATTAGTATTATCACTCCTATGGAATCTCACCATCCTCATACACAATCCCATGCTTCTCCAGCACTGTTAGGTTGATGCTCTTCAGCTTACAATTCTTTGCCCAAACCTGAGGTGAAGACAGCGTGAAAGTCTCAAGATAGCTCCCCTCCATCTATTATGCCACTCAGTCAACTTTCTTCTCCAAAAGCAGGAGCATCAAGCATTTTTTTTGCCTGGCTTAGTCATTTTCTCTGACAAGGTAAGATCCCCAGACAACTGCTTCCACTCACTTCCAGATACAAGTCTTATCTACTAGATGCTTCACTTACTCTGGCTAAGCTCCCCAGGACAACCAGTTCCACCCCCTTCCAGATACAAGCCTTATCTACTAGGATGCTTCACTTAACTCTGGCCCTCTGGGAGAATCCTCCACCCAGTTAAGATAAAGCCAAGTCCCGCCACCAGGCCAAAAAGGTACCACACCCAGTGGTAATTAACCAAACACCAGAACCAGTGCCAAGACTTGCCTCTAGGAACTGTTTCTCTTCACCAGCCTTTGAATTCCCAGTCCTGCGAAGCACAGCCTTCAGTGCCCCTGAGGGGGAATCTCTGCTCAGCAGCCTGTGGGAACATTGTGACCAGATGACTCCTGGACCTGCCCAAAGCTAGTTCTGTCTGTTGGGGAGTTGCCAGGCCACAGGATTCTTATCAAAAAATAATTTTTCCTGAATTTTGCTTGACTGTACATTTGCTTTTCTTTTTCTTTTTGTTCAGTGGGGTGAGGAGTGGGAGGGACAGAAAATGGATGTCTGTTCATTAAAAATTAAAATCTGATTTTTAAAAAGTAACTCTTATTGTTAAGCTAGGACTTCTCATAGATAAAACATGATATGAACCATAAACTCAGATAAAAATCCAAATCCACTCCAACCTTCAAAACTCACTTCAAATCTCAACTCCTTCAATGACTCAGATATCCAAGGATACCTTCCTTCTCTGAATTGCTGGCACATTTATAATCTATATACCATTTAATTGATTAGTATGAGGCAAAGGGAATCATTAAGTTTTGCGTGCTAATGAAAAAGGAAACGATATTATTGATCCTAGGGAGATCAGGGAGGAGTTGAAGCCTAAAAGTCCCTCTGAGGGCAAAAACCAGTTCAGTCAGCATGAGGGAGTTTTAGAAGGGGAAGGCCAGGACAGAAAGGAACCTCCTTGGAGATAGAACAGTTTTTGAATGGCAGTTTTTAATGACTTCAGGACTCTTGGAGAACGAGAAGGAGAGGTCTAGAAAAATGTAAGGAAAAAAAAAAAGAACAATGTAAGGAACAGGAAAAAGTCAGTGCTAAACAGTTTAGCATTAATTTTTCTCTAATTCTTTTACCTTTTAAAATTCTGTCTCTTTAAATAAACTGTAAACTCTGGGAGGGTAGACTTACCTCCCACAGAGTGGCCCTGCAAAGTAGTTGGACATTTAGTAAATACTTTCTGAATAAAACTGTAAGATGCAACAGGTCATAGGTAAATACTAGGAGAAAATACTGAAAGTAGAACCAGCTAGCTTATCCAGGTGGCTACTGTGACATATCCCAGGGATGCAGACCAGAAATGAATCCTTGAGAGAAGTAGGATTAGGAACCTCTGAACAAGTATCCCTGCAGAGGTACTGGGGCTATTCCCCTAACACTTACTCCCCCTTGGTTTCAATGCTGTTGCCGGCAGGTCCAGAAAACACCACAGAGCCACCATCGTGGAACACAAGATACTGGCGACAGAACCGGATGCTCTCCATCCGATCCAGGTCTCGCTGGGTCCATTCTGTAAGGGGAAGCCCAGAATCTGCAGCCCCAACTCAGCTTGGTTCTTCATCCAAGCTCCCCATCCCAAGCCTTCCCTATCCCTCCCTACAGCTGTAAGTGACTTCACTTTCTTCCAAAGAGGCCACCAGGTCCTCAGCAACACGGCGAATTAAAACGATTAAGATTAAATAAAAGGATTAAAATCTAAGGAGAATTTAGAGCTTCTTCCAGTACAACTCCATCATTTTACAGAGAAGCAAACTGAGGTCCAGTTCCCCAGAAAAGCTATTTACCAAGAGCCAGGTCTCCTACCTCCCGAAGTTATCCCGTACATCCCAGGGGCTTCCTGGTCCTCTCCATGGCCATCACCCCATGCCCAATCTCTTGGGTACCCGCTCCTGCCTCTGTTTTCTTCGTTAGGTCAGCCAGCACACATTCCCTCCCGCAACTAGAATCCCCCCAGTAGCCTTCCTCTCGGCGGCCGTCACGCCCCCGACCCCTCACTGCATTCTTCCGTCCCTGGATCCCCGCCTCCAAGGCCCGGATCGTGCCCCCTTCCAGACATACACATGCACACTCATGTACACACATGCAGCAACGCACAGGCGTACTTTCCTTTCCCATCCTGGACAGTGAATGGACCCGCAGCCCCAAGCCTGGGGTCGACGCTGAGGGGTCCGAGAGCTCCGCCAGGCCCCTGGCCCCGGCCCACTCTGCCAGATGGGCCCCCTCTCTCCCGCCCTTCCTCCGTCCCTCCCCGTCGCGCCCCCCGCCGCGGCACCTGTATGCACCGTGCGGTACTTGCCACCGTACTGGGTGGTGACCTCGGGTCCCAGGCCGGCGGTGACCAGCGAGGGGTGGCGGCTCAGCGCTCGGTACAGCGCCGTGGCCTCGTCCGGCTCGCTCATCAGCACCTGCGCGGGGGGAACACACGGGTCAGGCCGCGGCCGCCGAGCGGAGGAGAGCCGAACCGGAGTCGGAGCTGAAGCGCGCCGAGCCCGTACCTGTCGCTCCATGGAGATGGCTCTCGAGAGTATGGGGGGGGGACGCTCCGCAGCCCGGAAGGGGCCGATCAGCTGTGGGGCGGGGCCCAGAGCACATTTCCGCAGCGCCAGAAGGCAAAGTGCTGGGGACGGACCCGCCCCCTCACCGTGCGTCCCAATAGGAGGGGGAGGCGGGACCGGAGCGGGTGCGGCTCAGGAAAGGCGGAGTTGGACTGCTTTCTCACCAATCTCCGCCGCTCCCTAGACGACAAAGACACGCCCCCTCCACTCTGGCGCACTCTCTAGGGGCGGGGCGTCAGAGGCACGGCTCTTCTGGTTGGTGGGTGTGGGCGGGGACTGCACCTTTCCTCCAGTGCGCGCTTAACCCTGTAGCCAGGCCCGCCCCTTGGGTTTGTCTGGGCCTCGGCCTGTCTAGAAGTCTGAGGTTACCTGTCCGTGTGTAACAATCCAGTTGCCCTGATCTATATCTTGCCACTGGACCCACGTAGCTCCGGAGGAGAAAATGGGGCTGGTGACCTTGCCCCGCCCTCCCTCACTTAAGTCCAATCCACTTGCAAGTCATGGCATCACCTCCGTGATGTCATGATCCTCAGAGAGGAAAGGACAAACAACAATATGTGTAACGATCCAGTGTCCTCGGCCAAAAGAAACTATTTACGCACGTCCTCTCAGAAGTCTCCATGTCTTAGACGACTCTACTGAGGTGCATTTAAGAGCATACTATGTACCAAGCATTGTGCTAAGCTCAGGAGATACTAAAGAGAAAAAATCCCAGCTCTCGTGAAACTCAGTCTAATGGAAGAGACAAGGCGCCAGCAGCTATGTACAAATAAGTTGTAGACAGGGGCAGCTAGGTGGCACAGTGGATAGAGCACCGGCCCTGAAGTCAGGAAGACCTGAGTTTGAATCCAGACTCAGACCAAACACTTGACACTTACTAGCTGTGTGATTCTGGGCAAGTCACTTAACCCCAATTGCCTAAAAACCAAAAAATACAAAAATAAAAAAGAAGAAGCAAATAAGATATAGACAGCATAAAATGGGGCATCATCTAAAAGGGAAGGCACTATCACTGAGTAGAACTAGGAAAAGGTTTTTGCAAAAGGTGGACTTTGGCTGACATTAGAAGGAAGTCAGGGAAGCTCAGACACAGAGATAAGGAATTAATCTACTTATTTTCATATTATTATATTAGGAAATAACCGTCTTAGAGCAAGGTTGCAACCTCCATACTTGGAAAGATCTATGATTTTATCTTTGGGTGAGCTCCTTTCACCAGGCCAGTGGCAGCCCCTTCCCAGGATCATAAGATCTTAAAATTGGAATGGAGTCTATAAGTCACTTTGTTCAACCCCCTCATTTTACAGAGAAAGAATCAGGCAAACGCCTTAGAGAACTGTTCTTAGTGAGGATTTAAGGATTTGATTGGTGTGGTGACTCTCTCCAGCCAGTTTGGAGTCTCTTTCAGTTTTCCTTAGCAGATTGCTCTTAAGAAGCTGTTATTTTGGGGGGGAAATTATCTGTCCTGAAGTCCTCCGGCCATATATCTATGGCTGGAACATGACTTACCTTTATTTAACAGACCAATTGAGGGTAAGAGGTAATGAGTGATGTCCTGTGGAGCCTTTGGCTCTGATTGATCTGATCAAACCAATTCCAGGCATCTCCAAGCCAGACTGCATTTCTAACGCCTCCTCCTTCCCCCTTCCAACTCCTGTGTTGTCTTCTATTACAGAGACTGTCTTGCTTGCTTGTCTTTGCATCCCCAGTGCTGAGCACAATGCCTGGCACATAGTAGGTGCTCATAGTAGGTGCTTCATTCATTCATTCATTCCCCAAGTACACCTAAGCCATTAAGCAGTACAGTGGGAAATGGAACTCAGGTATTGTCAAGTCAACAAACATTTATTAAACACTTGTGTACCAGGCACTGTGCTTTGTGACTCCAAGTTCCCAGTTCAGCACACTTTCCACTGAATCATGTCCCTTGACGGCCAAACCTGGTGGTAGGTAACTCCCTCGACATTCCAATAGTTAGGTCTTTGGACACTAGACTACATTGAGCCTAGGGTCTCCTGTGTAGTGAAAGAATACTGGATTTGCTCAGGAAGATCTAGCTCTGACCCAGTAGCTCTGGGACCATGGATATATTTAACTCGTGTGAACCTCAGTTTATTCATTGTTTAATGTACTTCAGAAGGTTGTTGGGAGGAAATCATTTTGTAATAATTGGGATAGGGACTGAACCTGTGATCTAATTGTTACAGAGAACTCCATATATGGAAACTCTCTCAAACATTGCTGGTCCAGACTATCTTAGAGAGTGGCTTAGGGGAGCCCTTCTCTCTCTCTCTCTCTTTTTTTTAGGCAATTAGGGTTACACAGGGTTACTAGGGTCACACAGCTAGTAGGTGTCAAGCATTTGGTCTGATGCCGGATTTGAACTCAGGTCCTCCTGACCTCAGGGCCGGTGCTCTGTCCGCTGTGCCACCTAGCTGCCCCTGGGAGCCCTTCTCAAAGTGTGGTCCATAGATCCCAGAAGAGCCCTGATTCCCTGTCAGGGAGTTGGTGAAATTGAAACTATTTTTATAACAATAGTAAGTATAATAGTAATAATAAATAAATAGTAAATATAAGTATAATAGTAATAAAAAATAAATAGCAAGTAAGTAAGTAATAGTAAGATGTTATTTACCCTTTTTACACTCATTCTCTCAACAACTGCACAGTGGAGTTTTCCAGAGGGTACCTGACCCATGTTAATTAACAATGTAACAGCAAACATAAAGACTGAGTTACTCCCTCTTCTGCCTACCAAGTGGATGAATCTACGGACGTGACTGGATTGGCTGTTTTGCTTTCATTTGTTGATTATAAACAACTAATTACACACGTCCTCTCAGAAGTCTCCGTATCTTAAATGATTCTACTGAACCAGCCTTTAAGAGCATACTATGTGCCAGGCACATTAGCATCAACTGATCACTGAAGAAGAGTCTTTTATCTGAACACCTGGCAACAAATACAAGTGCTGCTGGAGGAGTCAACGCCTCAACTAGCTTTCTGGAACCTCATGGTTCATTGTAGGACAACTGTGTGGACATTTGTACTGATGGAGCAAACCTAATGATGGGTAAGATTGCTGCTAGCATGAATTAAGGCAATGGTACCCGCAGGTACCACGAGGTTAAAAAAATTAACAAGCCAGTTTCACTGAAGAATGTCCTTAATGAAGCACTAAAAATGATTAATTTTTTATTAAATTTCTGTCCTTGAGTACACATCTGTGTGATAAAATAGGTACGATGCATAATTCACTTCTTCGTGCCATGGTAAGATGATTGTCTTCAGGAAAAAACACTTGTAGGACTGAGTCATGAGCTGAACTAGCTACTTTAAAAAAAAAAAAAGGAATGCCATTTCTACTTCAAAGAATGCCAGACAAATGAGAGTTATTCAGACTTGGGTATCTGGCAGACGTTTTCTTGAAAATGAATGAAGTGAGACTGTCATATCAAGGAAAACAACTGATGGTATCTGTGGCCAGTGAGAAAATTCAAGCTTTTAAGTGAATATTAGAATTTTGGAAAACTTCTCTCTGCCACCATGAGCTTCCCAGCCTCTTAGTAGTTAAAGGCTTTTCGGCTGAGATGGGTGGTGATATGATATAATCACAAATGTGATTTTTAAAATATATTACATAATGAAATGTGTCAACATTTGGAAGCTCTGCATGATTTACTGGACCAATAACTTCTAAATTTCCATGTTATAAAATCACAGATGGGTAAGAGATTCGTTCAAAGTACAAGATAGACCATTGGGTTTTAATGTAACAGAGTAGGAAAAGTTCACTGACGCAGTTTCTGTTGCAGCTAACCTTTAAGAAACTAGCACCTGTTGAGTTCTGATGTAGTATCAGAGAAGATATCCACAATTATGTGGAAAGATTATTAAAATACTCCTCTCTTATCCAACTCCATATCTGTGTAAAGCTGGATTTTCTTTATATATTTTAACCAAAACAACACATCATGACAGATGGAATGGAAAAAGAGATTTGAGAATCCATTTGTCTTCCATTAAGCTAGACATTAAAGAGATTTACAAAAGTGTAAAATAATACCACTCTTCTCACTAAATTTGTTTTTGTTTTGTAAATTATGGCTATTTTTTCATAAAAATGTTATTTATGTTAATACATAATGGTTTCATTACTGTTTATTTTAAATGAATTAATAAGGAAATGTTTTTTTAAATGATCAGCTTTAATTCCTAATATAGTAAATATTGATAGCTATAACCCACATAAAAAAAGCTCTTTGGGGTTCCCAATCAGGTAATATAAAGAGTTCCTGAGACCCAAAGTGAGGCATTGTGCCAAGCACTGGAACACTGTGCTAAATGCTGTCATAGGCCCTCCTCTTCTTTTTTTTCTTTGTACTAGCTCATTAGCTCCCAAGAGTTCAATTATCATAGGTATGCAGATGATTCCTGGATCTACATGTCCAGCCCTCATTTATCTGCTGAGCTCCAAACCAACATCACCAACTGTCTAATTTCAAATCGGATGTCCAGTACACATCTTAAACTCAACATTTCTAAAACAGAACTCATTGTAATTGCCCCTAAATCCTCCCTTCTTTTGAACTTCTCTGTTATTGTCAAGGGTATCACCATCCTCTAGTCGCTGATGTCTGAAATCTTGGTGTCAACCTTGACTCTTTGCTTGCACCCATCTCACCTATCCATTCAGTTGTCAAATCTTGTCATTTTTGCCTTTACAACATCTCTTGTATGTGTCCCCTTCTCTTCATTCATCTAGCTACTACCCTACTTCTGACCCTCATCACCACTTCTCTGAATTATTGAAATAACCTTTTAACTGGTTTCCCTTCCTCAAGTCTTTCCCCACACTGCTCCATCCTTTGCTTAGCTGCCAAAGTGATTTTCCAAAATGAAGTCATGCTCATGTCACTTCCCTATTAAATAAATTTCAGTTGCTCCTTATTAACCTCGGGATCAAATGTCTTTTGTTTGGCACCTGAAGCTCTTCACAACCTTGCCCTCTCCTAGCTTTCCAGTCTTGACTCACTTCCATGAGGTGTACAATCTAGCCATACTGGCCCATTTGCTGTTTCTGTTTTTTTTTTTTTTATTATTTTTTTAATTTTTTAATTTTTTTAGGCAACTGGGGTTAAGTTACTTGCCCAAAGTCACAGAGCTAGTAAGTGTCAAGTGCTTGGTCTGAGGCCAGATTTGAACTCAGGTCCTCCTGACCAGGGCTGGTGCTCTATCCACTGTGCCACCTAGCTGCCCCTCCATTTGCTGTTTCTGGAACGGGACACTCAGCCTCCTTCCTTTGCACTGCCTGTCCTCCAGGCTTATAAGGCTCTGCCCCCTCATCTCTCATTCTTAGAATTCCTGGCTTCCTTTGAGACTTCTTTCAAATACAACCTTGTACAGGAGGCCTCCGCTGGTCCCTGCCTTCCCCCCATCGCCAGCTCCCAAAATTTTCCCATCCAAGGTTATCCCCCATCTACTCTATGTATCCTGTATGTACCTAATTATTGACATGTTGTCTTCGCCACTAAAATGTGAGCTCCTTGAAGGCAAGGCTTATTTTTGTCTTAACAGCACTTAACAGAGCACCCTGGCATATACTAAATGCCCATTGATTGATTTTACAGGTAAGAAAACGACTATTATGTCAAGCTGGAAGGTATCTCAGAGATGATGTGGTTACATCTAGAGCTTCAGATCCTAATATCAAGGCTCATTCCCCTCAGCTCTACTAAAAAAAAAAAGTGAGATATCACTGTGAACTAGTTAGTTTTAATCTCTCTGAGACTCAGTTTCTTCATCTGCAGAAAAAAAAATGGGGATAATAATACTTGCCCTCATAGGATTTTTGTGAGGGAAGTATTTTGTATATCTTACAGTGATGCATAAATAATATAATTATTAAGTCTTTAAAGGTAGGGTGCCATGGACAGGTTGAGTAGAAGCCTGGGAACAAAAGCAGTGGGAAGGACTTCGGGTTTGCATCTATTTTATCAGGTTTGAAGGCTGGACTGGGGTCTGGTGGAAGGGAGCTGGATGTCCATTCTCACCAGTTTTGGCTTCTTGCTTTTCTTAAAGGTAAGGGTATACTTGGGAAAGCTGATGTTACTGATTAATGTCAAATTCTCATTGCTGTTGTTTTTGAGGCAATGGGGTTAAGTGACTTGCCAGGGCTGCACAGCGATTAAGTGACTGAGTCCAAATTTGAACTCAGGTTCTCCTGACCTCAGGGCCAGTGCTCTATTTACTGTGCCACCTAGCTTCCCCTGTCAAATTGGTTTTTAAAACCAACTTGACCATATGTTTAAAAATATTTATAGCGGCTTTTTTTTTTTGTAGCAAAGAATTAGAAGCAAAGTAGGTACCCATCATTTGGGGAAATGGGTGAACAAATTACTGCATATGAGTTAAAGGGATATTATTGTGCTGAAGGAAATTATGAAGGAAGTGGATTCAGAGAAACCTGTGGGGACTCTATTAACTGAAGAAGAGTAAAGTAAACAGAACCAGGAGAACAATGAATACAATGACAGCAACACTACAAAGAAAACCAGCTTTAGACTTAACTAACACCATGACTAATTCCAGCTTCTGAAGATAAAGCAAAGTTCCTACCTCTTGGCAGAGAGGTAGCACTAGTGCTGCAGGATGGGATATGCATTTTCAGACATGGCCAATGTGTGGGTTTGTTTTGTGTGATTGCAATTATTTGTTACAGGGTAAGAAGCTTTAATGGTGGTGGAAGAATTGGGGGTGTGTGTAGAAGGGGAGGATAATGATACTAAAAGGAAGAAAATATAGAAAAGATGGTCAATGAATCATTAAGAAACTAAACAGAAGACAGCATAAGAAAATTCAGAAGGGGACACAGATAAGCAGGGTAGTGTTGTCTTAATAGGTACGCAGTATTATGCTAGATTAGAAATATACAAAAAAAGCTTTAAATACTGGACACACATTGTTTCCTATTCGGTCGTCTTTTTCTGTTCTTTGTAGAGAGAACTATTTATGTTTGTCAAGTTCATAATAATAAAAAAAGAAAACAAACAAAAAAACCCACCCTAATTGGGAAGTTATCTGACCTGCCTACAGTGCCCAGCTTTCTGCTTGGTGAGCTCTCAGCAGTGACTCTGTTTTTTCCTACTTAAAGAGAGCTCCCAAATTCCCTAAGGCTGTTCTAGTCCCTGGACAGTGACCTTGTAAAATGTATCTGGAGAACTATAGGCCCAGGGACAGGAGTAGACACTTGAATGACTCATAGCATGACTACATGATACAAGATAGCTGAGGGGTAGAGGTGGGTGTGGGGCAGAATCAGCCAGAGGCTTCATATTTCACTAAATTCTAACAGTCAACCACTTCTCTAATGCATTTGGTCTTCAGCAAAGAAACAGAGTTCAATAGGACCTCTGAGGTCATCTGAGTCCAACCCTGACATGAAGCAGAAATCCCCTGGGCTATTCTGTATATACCCAATTATTGACACTAGAATGTGAGCTCTTTAAGGGAAGGAACAGGATTTGCCTTTCTTTGTATTCCCAGCATCTAATATCACACTTGTGACCTTGGGCGAGTAAGTGAACCTCCCTGGGGCCTTGGTTTTATGATCTGTAATTGAGAGGATTGGCCTCCAAAAGTCCCTTCCATTTTCAGATTTATGGCCCTATGATCTATGAAATATGTAAAATTGCATTAACTCTTTTTCTGGCTATTGATTCATATGGTCCTTAGAGTTCTTGAAAACTCTAGGGTCGTTTCATGTGTACCAGCCTAGACATTTCTCCCCTATTCTGCACCTGCATAGTTGATTTTTTTGAACCCAAATATAGAATTTTACATTAATTCCTACTAAATGTTCCGTCTCCTTTGGATTTGCTCATTGCTCTAGCCTACTGAGATTTTTTCATTTACTAAGTCTACAGACAATTCAGCAATTCAAGTCAATGAATTCAAGGAACATTTGTTAAGTACCTTCTATGGCCAAGGTACCTTGCTAGAGGCACTAGAGAAGCTTATCCTTGCTCTGATATGTTAGGGATGATAAAGAAAGTCTCTAAGGTGTCTACATCTCAGACTGGCACCAGACCTTCTTTTAATAACTTTAAATAGGCAAGTTCCCTGGGACTTCCCTGCCTTCTAGGGGGATTAATGGATTAATCAGTTCATTAATCACAGATCAGCTGGGGAGGGGGCAGGATTCATGGAGCTACATCTTGCAGATACAGATCAGACCTGTGGGGTCTTCTAAAGAAGCCATCACAAGTTTACCAAGGCAAATTACTGACCCCATTAGGCCAGTATTCTAAGGCATCTCTGTCGAGGTCTCAGTGACCCAGAGTTTTCCAGTGCCTTATTGGGAGCCAATAAAATAATTCAAGCAATAAGCATTATTAAGCCCTGCTGTATACTAGGCACTGTGGTAGAGGCTGGGAATACAAAGACAAGAGTGTCCTTGAGGACACTTACCATCTAGTGAGTGGAGAAAAACACACATATAGATAGGAATATACAAAATATATACATGATCTGTACAAGACAATATTGGGAGGAAGGCATTAGTAACCAGGGAGATCAGGAAAGACTTCATTAGGAGCCTTCAGTGGAAGGCGACTCTTGAGCTGAGCCTTGAAGAAACTGGAGATTCTAAGGGTCAAAGGTAATAATAATAATAATAATAACAATAATAATAGCTAACATTTAGACAGCATCTACTGTGGGCTAGGCATTTTATTAAGTGTCTTACAAATAATACCTCATTTGAGCCTCACAACAACCCTGGGAGGGTGGTTGCTATTAAACCCATTTCACAGTTGAGGAAACAGGCAAACAGAGAGTTTAAGTAACTTGCTTAAGTTCACATAGCTAGTAAATGTCTGAGACTGGATGTGAACTCTGGACTTCCTGACTCCACCAAGTCCAATGTGTTATCCACTGCACCACCTGGCTGTGGAGGCGTCAGATTTGGGGGACAGCCAGTTCAAAGGCACAGAGTTAGTCCGGAAGATGATGTGCCATGTGGGAAGGACAGTTGGCTGGAGGGTAGTGTATGTGAAGGGGAGTAATGAGTAATAAAACTAAAGAAATAGGATGGATCCTGGTGGGGAAGGGGTTTAAATGCCAAACACAGGAGTTTTGATTTGAGCCTCTAGGTAACAGTAGCCACTAGGGTTTATTGAGAAGGAGAATGACAAGATCACACCAGAGCTTTAGGAAAATCATGTTGGCAGCTGTGCGGAGGATGGACTGGAGTGGGGAGAGACTTGGGGCAGGGAGGTCACTTAGGAGGCTATTGCAGTAGTACAGGTGAGAGATGATGAGTGCCTGAAACAGGTGAGTGGTTGTGTGATTACAGAGAAGGGAATGGATGCAAGGGATGTCGTGGGGGTGAGAAATGATAAGATTTGGCAACTTGATTATCTATGTGGGGTGAAGGAAAGAAAGGAGTCCAGAATGACACCAAAGTGGAAACTCTGGGTCACTGGGAGGATGGTGGTGTTCTCAAGAGAAATAGGCAAGTTTGGAAGAGGAGCACGGTAGGGAAGGTGATGAGCTGTGTTTTGGCCATGTTGAATGTCAGATGCCTATAGGACATGTAGTATGAAATGTCCCATAGGTAGTTTAAGCCAAAGTAGCCTCCATGGATCAGCAGAACAAACTAGTCTTGTGGTCACTTGTGTTTGCTGCTTTTAATTCCCATTGCAAATGACTTCTTGCCCCGCCCCCCCATAAAACAGGAACAATGCAGGAGCCCATGCATGCTTTATATCAAGTCCTTTTATTCTGTTATCACAGAAATACCTTGTAGGGGCAATATCTCATACTGAGTCACAATACAGAAGGTGGTACATTGAAATACTACAGAGTTCTCACAGGGCGCAGCAGGACAGACACACAATTTACAATGTTCAGATAGAGGACTTAGGTCATTGCACTTACAACTGTAAACTTGTTGGTTTGACTTTGTACAACCCCCCCCCCACCCTTGCCCCATCAACAACAACAAAAAAACCCCACCCCAAAATGGAATAGCCCGAGAAAGGCATGGAAGCCACCAGGTGGAAGGGGCTGGGAAAACCATAAGAACTCTACAGATGACTCCTCTACCTTGGGAAAGGAGAGGGGAAGAGAGAGGAGGGAGAAGTCTAGAGGGAAGAGAAGGAAAGGTTAGAGGAAGGCAGAAGAGGTGTGGGCTTCAATCCCAAGGACTAAATGAGGCAGTCTCTCTCCCCCAAACACGCGCGCACACACACACACACACACACACACACACACCCATTAAAGTATTGGCTTTCTCTTTTTGTACATCAAAGCAAAAGGTGTGCTGGTGCTGGGAAGTGAACCCCCCAACACGAGTTGTGGTTTGGGTTTTGTTCTCCTTGCCATGTGAGATTTACACACTGTACAATGTATTTACATGCCAGGAATGGGGAGGGCAGGTCATGGTGACCCCAAGAGAGATGACCCACTGGGGAACAGGGCCCGGGAGGACGTCGGACTGTATGCACTTGTCATGCCAGTGGTTCTGGGAAATACTGGCCATTCTGGGGGTATCTGAAGGGAAGGCCACTGCTTTTGGACAACCAACAACATGGACAAAGAGCGTGGGTGTATCTCATGATAGTAAGGGAATGAAGATCTCCTTGGCTTTTGCTTGGTTCTAAATGTTATGAAATGATCAGATCCAAGGGCAGGAACTGGTCAGAGAAGCTCATCGTCTCCCCTCTCCGAGGCAGGGTGGCATTTATACTACTAGATTGGAGGTCAGGGACCCTGGGTGCTAGTTCCAAGCCTGCCTCCAACTGATTTCATCTTCTAGGGTCACCCAGGTCAGCCCTCTCAGCCTCAGTTTCTCAATCTCCAAAACAAGCGAAATGGATTAGAGGATCTTTAGAACCCCTTCCAGATCTAAAGTTCTATGATTATCTCTGGGATTGGGGAGGGGTGAAAGAGCTATTGATAACAGGGCTGTAGTGAGTGTGTGTGCTTTCCAAAGAGGAGGCTGCCTGGTGTAGCCTCCGGGACTGTCAAAGGCGAAGGATGGAGAGAACACTCTTTCCATTGGTGGAAAGAGTTCTCGGTACAAATAAAGTATGTGTGGAAGCACCCGACCCCTGACCCCCACGCAGTAGAAGAGATCCAGAACCCTGCCTACTCTATCCTCTCCCCACCTCCTATTCCAGTGACATCCCAAGTACTCTTGGCTCCATGTGGCAGGTAATACCCTCACGTCACTTGGGCCTGGTGCCTTAGCAGGACTTAGTGCCAAGCACCTTCATCTGAACTGCCCAAAGTGTTATCTTGACCTCCATGGAAAGTGTTCTAGATCAGGTACCAGACAGTTCTCCAGCCAAGAGCCTCCTCTTAGGTGCCATTTGGGAGCTCAGAGAGATGGGTTTGGGATAGAGACTGACTTCACACACAGTCCAGGCTAGCGAAGAAGGATAAGACAGAGGGTAAGGACTTATCACAGAAAGGAACCCTCTGCTCATACCTTGTAGTTTGGTCTTGGTCAAGTAATTGAAGCTCTCTGCCTCAGTTTCCTCATCCGGAAAACAGGAAAGGTAATACTTCCTCGTCCCTACTTTACACACATTGGTAGATAATTAGAAAAGATCATACACACAAGGTGAGTCGAGCTCCTTTGAAGAGGCCGTGTCAGTGAGAGGTATTGTTACAAATGAGATAATATTTGTAAAGCGCTTAGTACCATGCCTGGGCACACAGTAGGCGCTTAATAAATGCTTATTCCATTCCATCCCATTCCATTCCATTTCATACTTCAATGAGGAGAATGAAACAAAAGGCAGATGCCATTAAAAATACTAGTCCCCAACAGCCATGCAGAAGGAAATTCAGGCCATCCCTAATACAAATGCTGACTGGTCAATACCCAGACTGGGAACTGCTCACCACATGAGTCACCTGCCAATTACCCTTAGAGCTAAGGCCATGAAGGCCCTTCTTGTCTATCTCTGGGGAGAATGAAGACCGAGTGAAAGCAGATCCTTATCCCCATTGTCTTCCCACAAATAGTCTCCTGCCTAATAATGTCTCATTCATTTCCATTAAGAAGTAGCCTTTTCTCAGCCATTTGTCCCTGCTGACTTGGGGGCTAGGAAAGTCTCCTCCACTCAAATGGCAGCTAAGATGCACAGCCCTTTGAGATGAGTTAAACCCTTTGGAGGTTGTTGGGATAGTCTACCAAGGCTTTTCTGGACTCAGATAGAGGGACCAGGATATGTCCTTGGGGAAAACCAGACCAATATGAGCTCTAGGCAAGGAGGCTTCAAGGCCTGGAGTATCTGATGGAGACAAGTAACAGAGAGAGGTCTCCCCTCCTGAGTCCAAAAGCTGCCAAGAAAAAAAAATATAAGAAACAGGAACTCCTAAGAAATGCATGGTACCACCTGAATAGCTCTGGAAAAAGGCTAGGCTGTGGGCTCAATGCCTTTGATGTGCCTGGGCCCCCTGGGAACTTCCCAAGGCACGATGGAAGTCAGTGCTGTCTTAGAAATGGTGGTCTAAGGAAAGAAAAACTTGGTACCTCACCAATCCAGAAACCCTCAAGGATCCTACCCAGAGTTTGGATATCCATTGCCAATCTGTCTTATTTCATTTCCAAAGGTCAGCAGCTCTAACACTAGTCTTCATAAATGCCAAGGATATTCCTTTTGCCATTCTTGGCCCTTTTCTTTCTACAGCCTTTGAAAGTTTTGGGCCTTTTTTTTTTTAAGCTTTAGATATGGGCTGAGGTTCTTAGAAAGTCTCTCTTTGATCAGAGCTAAGAAAAGAGGTCTCCAAATCCTGAGTCCTAGCCCTTCCTCCTGGGGTAGTGGAGCAATCTGAGATTTGGTACTCACTTTAGCTCCTTAGCAGCTCCATCCCCTTTCAGAAATGGCCTGCTTTAGTCAGGACTTAGCAGCACAGATAAAGTCAAGGTACAAAAAAACCTATCCATGACAGGACAACCAACAAAACAACCTTTCAAGTCCTAACCCACAGCCCATTGGTATCAAATCCATTTTTTGGAAAATGGATGTTTAGCTCCCCCCTCCCCCACTCCAGCAAAGCCCTGGGCCAATGTAGCTACCTTGGGTTTTGAGTTTCACAGAGGCTGAAGGCTCCAGTTTACTATGAACAGACAGTTTTCGAAGCCCTGAGCACAGTCCTTGGGGAATCCTCACAACTGGGGCCAATGAAGGTAAGATAAGTTCATTTAAGGATAGAAAGGAGAGATATCTGGGACTGCTCCGACTCTCTTCTGAATTGCTTTTTATCTTCTTCAGTTCAAGGCTTGTAGTATTGTCTCTGCTACAGGCATTGGGGTGTATGATCTCTGTGGGGACGTGGTAATAGCGGTGGTTCTTTGGGAAGAATGGTGCAATGAGAAGGGCGCTGAATATGGAGTCAGATGGCTCAGACTCATATCCCACGTTGACTATTTACTTTCTATGTGACCTTCGTCAAGTTACTGCCTCCTCTTTCTCTGGCCCTCAGCTGACATATCTCTAAAACGGGAAGGGGCAGGGGGTCGGATTAGATTTTCTCAAAAGCCTTTTCCCATTTTAACTCCTATGATCTACTGAAGAGGAATATATTGGGTTATGGGGGCACAAGAAGGGGTGGGCTCATTTCCATGTTGGGACTTGTTAACAGGACTCGAGATCTGTGGAAAGGAGACAGTGAGGGGAAAAGTCATCAGTAGGTCATCATGGGTGGGAGGGCTCAGGACCTCTCTCTGGACTAGAGGCACCTCTCCCATTAGTACAGACAATCCTTCAATAACAAGTGCATATGTCGACAAAAAGCATTTGAGTATAGGCGAGGGACTGAGGCAAAAAGAACCCCGAGCAAAGTACGGCAAGCATTTAAAGTAGATGAATTCGTGCAAAGAGGTAGCAAGCCATGCTCTACTCTAGGACGGGAGACATTACAGCAGCATGGTCACCCTTTGGCAACGACGCGTCCTTCGAATGGGTCGAACATGCCACAAATTGAAAACTTCACACACACACACACACACACACACACACCACACACACAGGTATTAGCTAGAAACATATCCATCCAATTTCTCCATAGCACATTTGTAATTAAATTCTTATACGTAACATTTAGTTTATTAAATATTAACAGGTGTAGTGTGTTCTGGTTTTTTTTTAATTTTTTTTGTTTTTTTTTTTGTTTTTTTGTATTTCATTGCATAGAACGTTAGAAATGAGACTCGTTGCTGTTGCTCAGGTTGAAGGGAAGCTCCAATGTATGGGACCATCAGGTTGGTTGTCTGGAACACTGTTGAGGCGAGAGCGACTGGCTTAACAGCAGTCATCCTGGCGACCACCAGGACACCCCTACCCTGGGCTCACCAGCTGCTGACTGCGGCTCCCTCTCACTTCCCATGCCAGAGGTTCTAGGAACTTCATAGTGGCAACTCAAACCACATGGGCTTTGTGGGTTTTTGTTTTTAAATTTCTGAGCACGCCCACCGGTAATGGCTTAAGAAGGACTTGAATTGCACAGTAAGAGGAGAATGGCAGAGGCGACCTCTTCTGATGTTATCCCACCTCCGCGTGGGGCTCTTGTAGCCTACTGCACTCTATTGCTTCTACAGAGGACACCCCGTGATAACCAGGTACAGAGTAAAGGGGGAAGGAGTTAAAAAAAGAAGTATGTCGGGGGTGGGGTGGGAAGGGGAGATGGGGGAGGAGGAGGAAAGAAAAATGAAAGAAAAATGCTTATGAGGTATACACAAGTAAATAAAATTGGAATGGTTAAGGCTGCTTTTGAAATAAAAAGAAATCTTCAGGCATAGGTAAAATAAGGAGATGGTTGTTATGAAAGCATTGCCACTTGGATGTTTTACAATGCTCGGTGATGGCTTCAAGGTGGCTGGCAGACACGCTTGGCCTGCCACCGTCTGTCTGGGGAAAAGTCAGCCAGTGCACATGCTGCCTTGCAGAGTCCTATGGCCTCGTATTTCAATAATGAAACAGTGTTAGGTCCTAGTGTTTTTTTTTTTGTTTTTTGTTTTTTTTAAAAGTTCTCTAAATCCCACAAGTCCCTCGCTGCACAAGTTCCATCACTAAGGACAGGGTGCCCGCAGAGGGAGCTGTGGGGCCAACTGGAATGTGAAGGAAATGGAGCCCTCGGCTCCCAGCCCTCAACTCAAAGCCCATCTCCAAGGCTGTGGAAAAACCTTTGAAGGCCCCGGAATGAAGAAGTCCAGTCGGCATGAGCTGGAACTCTGTGTATAACCCTGAAGAAAAGGCCCCTGGGCCCTGCTCCAGGCTCTACTTGGCAAGGGGGAACGCTGGGCAGGGGCACTGCCTTTGGAGTTTCAAGTCTTCTCCAAGGGCAAAGTGGGAACCCCAAGCTTCTGGACAGTCCCAACCAGGACCTTTGGCAAGTTTTCCTCAAGAAAAGTCTCCCCGAGAATGACTGTGGCTCCTTCTAGTCACTGCTCACCAGAGAGGATGAGTCACTATGGACACTGTCTTTGGAGAGCAGTTCTGAGGGAGACACTCCCTGGGGGGCTTCCGGGCAGATGCCTCACTCTGGTGACTCCAGCTGGAAAAGCATTCGCTGTCCTGTTTGCGTCACTGAGCCTAGGGTTTGCCATGAGTTCAGATGCTTGGAAGAGAAAAAAGGAAAGGAGGGTAGGAAGGAAGGAAGGAAGGAAGGAAGGAAGGAAGGAAGGAAGGAAGGAAGGAAGGAAGGAAGGAAGGAAGGAAGGAAGGAAAGTTGGTTATTTTGGCCCATTCTCTTTTCTCCCTTATATACCAATCCCTCTCATGCACTGCTCTGCTGTCTCCAAGAACGGTATTGCCTTAAGATCCCCAAGTTTACAACAGAAATGGAAAGAAAAAGAGAAAAATTAGTCACTTCTAGAAAGAACAGAAATTACAGAGGAAACATGTGGTTAGCACAATCTCTTGTGAGCTAGCAACCCTCCCTGGCAACAAGCATCACTTTGCACAGTGTCTGAGAAGGAAGGGATCCAGGGGCAGCTAGGTGGCACAATGGATAAAGCGCCAGCCCTGAAGTCAGGAGGACCTGAGTTCAAATTTGGCCTCAGACCAATCATTTGACACTTACTAGCTGTGGGTGACCCTGGGCAAGTCACTTAACCCCAATTGCCTTTAAAAAAAAAAGAGAAGGAAGGGACCCAAAGAGGTCATTTAATCTATCCTACTTCCTCTGAGTAGGCCTGGACCTCATTTGGCCTAGCACTGATTAGGCTCCCATCTACTGCTCACAGATATAATGAGATTTCTCTCCTGGCTCAGTCAAGACAATACTTGGAGTTGACAGGCTTTGCTGCCAGAGGGTGCTGAATTGTTCTTGGGCCGTGGTATTCCCCAGGTGATAGCAGGGTTGGAGAAGTGAGCCACTCTGGGTTCCATTGCTCCTGGCCTCGCTGAATGGCTGTTGTTGGAAATGTGTGAGAACAGAAAGGCAGTGTTTCCTGTCTTATCCAGCGAGATGTTCAAGGTCAGCCTCCTTACCTCCAAACACATTAAAGGGGGGCGGGTGTCATTGCTACCACTACTTCCATCCTCCATGTCACAAACTGGGAATTCACAAAGAGGAAAGAGGAAAGAAAGGACATCAAGATACATTAAAAGACTCTTTTTGTCTTGGACGTAGCAAAATGCCCCTGGTCCCAAAAGAGGAGCCATGAACCTCAAAGTGTGGGGCCCTTGCTGGAAGCTGGGGCAGAAGCTGATGCTGTGTGGGGAACCTGCCCTCTGAAAAATACTCCGTGCTTTTTAGACTGGTGTCATACACTCATGGGTGTGCTAGAGAAAGTGGTTAAATTTTCAGTGTGAGTGTTTATACCTTGGAAATTGGCAAATGTTATAAATTAGGGCTCAATTTATTTTGTTGATTGTCTAGACAAGAAAGTGATGGACAAAATCCAAATTAAACTTAAAGTGTATAGTGGTCACTTTTTTTTTTAAATTCAGAGAACCGGCTATTAAACATTTTACTAGCATACCCCTGCATAAAGAGTTCCATGGCCAGCGCTACATGTCAGGCAGCCCATAGACACAGTCCTGAGTCCAAGCTCAGTGGAGCCTAGGAACTCTGGAAGGTGGAAAGGCCAGCGAGGCAGATCCTGTCTCAGGCCAGGCTGTCCTCTCTGTCCCCTTCCAGCCCCATAGGCCCACAGTCTAGCGCTCTTCCCAGATGCCTTCATTGTCAGAAAACCTAGCAGAATTCTTAGACTCCACTGAGACACCATGGACACTTTGGGGACTGGGCTGATGCAAAACTACCTTTCATATGGCTTAGGACTGTGTCTAAGAGCTACTTGACATGTAGCACTGGCCATAGAACCATATGTATGCAGAAGTATCCTGGTAAAATGTTTAACAACTGGTTCTCCGGTGGAGGGATGCTTTTGCTTTCTGCACTGGGGGTCTTTCCTTAGGGAATTAGGTCAACCCCCCACTTTAGCCCCACCATAGTGGCTCCCTGGGAGAGGTGGAGAGGGATGGGTGCTGCTGAGCCAAGGCTTGGTATGCAAGGGGCATCCCACCTAGGGGCTCCATTGCCTGCTCTGATCAATTTGCCTCTGCACTCTGGTCTATTGCTAGTCTAGGCTGCATTTGTTACTCCCTTTCTCCATCACATTTCCCTGGAAGTGTTCAGCCTGAAAATGTTACTAAAATAACATACGACAACAAATTCAACATGGGAAACACGACTGCTCTTTTATTTTAAAGTGGGCTAATTCTGTGGCTGATCAGGCATTTCTGGTGTGCCAGGCAGGCCTGCCAATTTCTGGGTGCCAGACATTCCTGTGGTGGAGCGGAAGGAGCACCGGATTTGGAGTCAGGGTGACTGGGTTCAAATCCCAGCACTGCTGACTGCCCGGGTGACCTTGGGCGATTCCTGAACCTGGGCCTGAATTTCTCCTACTGTAAAATGTTGGACAAGACTCATCTCTCAGATTCCTTCCAGCTCTAAATACTAGGAACCTATGAACTCCATCTTTGGGAACTTCATTAAAGCCTTTCCTTTCCTTGTGAATCCATCCTCTGGGTCTCTTCCCAGACTCAAGGCTGCTTGGTGAACTCCATCATGGCTCTCTGGCCAGAGTTGCCTCTTGATATGGGCAGGTCCTGGTTTAAGGTGAGGATTATCTGGAAATATACACCTATCTTCTAGGACCGTCCTCAGCATTACCCCCTTCCTGTTCTAATGTCTGCTGACAGTCATCCTGTGGGCTGAATTACAGCCTCATGTCCCAGAGACGCAGTGGAAAGGTGTCATCAGCCAGAGTGGGAGGGGTGATCTCCTTTGGGAGAGCTGAGTAATGAAGGCCTTTGGGTGCCACTACACTCCCTCCTGCTCCCCCACCCCAGCGAAAGGTGTAGCCCATGTCCTAACAAGGCCCTCTGTGAGGACAGAGACACCCTAGTAGGTGGGGCCCAGGAAGGGGTGAACTTTCATCACTAGGCTGAAGCCAGTGGCTGGTACACCATACTACGCATTTAACAAAGCAGCTGCAGCCTTGAGGGACACCACCCGTCCAGCTGGGCCACGCCAAGGCTTCACTGTGTTTCAAAGGTGAGTGGTCCATGCCAGTGGTCAGGTGTCAGGCTCTGATGGTTACTGTCTTCTCTGTGGACTCAGGTATACACCCCCATGGACTCGGTGCTGGAGAAATGACTAGAGCTGATTACGTGGGGGGAGAGAATGCTATCTGACATGGGAGGTTCTGCCACAAATGCTGGGGGTCCACCTGCCCTGGGGTCCCACCGATCTTCACTGCAAGAGAAAGATAACATATACAAGTTCAGCTAAGTGCAAAAGAACTGCTAATGAAGAAAGGAAAGGAAGCAGAAGAAAGAAAGAAAAGGAAGAAAGGGGAAGAAGAAGAGGAGAAAAAGGAAGAGAGGAAAAGAGAGGTAGTCAAGAGAAGCAGGGACAGTAGGAGGAAGAGAGGAAGAGGGAGTCAGGAAGAACAGAAAAGACTAATTCATAAAGGTACAAGCACTCATTTGTAAGCTGGAGAAACTTCACGCTGCCCAGGCCAGAGGCTTTAGCAAGGAAAAAGGATATCGGTCTCAGTTTCCCCAACTGCCAAATGAAGAGGTTGGACTAGGATACGCTAAGAGTCCATCCAGACTGCTGACTACGACTATTGCGTCATCTACTCTTGGGGGGCTGTCCGTAATGTCAGGCACTGTGGGTAGAGTGAGGCCTGTAACTTAGGAACAATATGCTCATGCTGGCATGATGGAGGACCGGCCAGCGAGTGCTCAGTATTAGGCATGGGGGCAGTGGACCCTGATGGATAGTAAGGAACTGGCTTCTGGGCACGTATAACAGAAAGCCCTGTTCTGAAGCAGGCTCGCCAAGTATTCACACACTCCAAGGAGTGGGCCTTCATTGGCCAGTCCCCCATTACACTGGAAGGCATCACATTTTACTTCTCCTCTCTGCCAAACCTAGATCATACAGAACAAGCAGATGGCCCAGCTGTAAAGGAATCTTCTTGTGCTTGCGAGCCAGTGGGCATCTACAAAGACTAGCAGATGGGTTGTTCCTCATAAAAGCCCTCAAAGTGACCGTGATACTTCCTCTATTCCAAGTGTCAGGGACGAATCAACCAGGTAGGACAAAGGTACCATGTTCAATGGCGTGGTAAGTGATTCAGAGGGAGCAGGGGGAAAGTCAGCACTAATAACCTACTAAGCCAACTCCTCACTCTAAGGAACACTCAGAAAGCCATGGGCTTGGGTCAGGGGCTTGGGTCAGAACTAGGGTCCTGGCTCTGGCACTGACTGGTCTTATGTCCAGCATCAAGGGAAAAGCATTGGGGCATGAGTCATAACCATTCTGTGTCTTAGTTCCCTTCTCTTATTAAATGAGGGGTGTGGACAAGATGACCCCTGAGATCCCTTCTAGTTTTGCCATTCTATGATTTAAAAAATGGGGTGTTTGAGGGAATAAATCAATTAACTAACAGCCCCCATCCCCTTCCTCTGCCCTATACACTGGGTAGAGCAAGGAATACTCTCTTCTCCACTGCCCCACTTTACCCCCTCTGTGGATTCAGGGTCATCAACTTAAACAATTTTCATTCCAATGCCCAAGGCCTCACAGCCTAGGATTAATCGTGCCCTGTCCTGTGAATTCCCTACAGATATTTCTTCAGGTGTAGGGTGGAGAGAAGAACATGGAGAGAAAGAGATAGCAGGCCAGAAGAACAAAGGGAGGTGAGAGGTATGAGAAGGAGCATAAGACCCTTTGTCCAAAAAAGAAGGGCCAGCAGATGGGGGACATCCCACTCAGCCTTATCAGGGAAGATGGAAGCTATATTATTTAGCCCTGAGACAGGGGGCTTTAGTCTTAGGAGCTGTTTCCCCTTACATCACTGCAACCTTGTCACTCAGCAAACATGCTAATAAAGTTTCTCCCCTGGCCTGCTCGATAATTCTCAAGAAATTCTCCAGGGAGAACCATTTTTCCCTTGAGCTCTGGGTCTGTGTTCCTCAGCCTCTTACTCCACAGGCCCCTGAATGGACCAGGCCTCAAGCCTGGGCACAATGGGGCTCTCAGACACGAGTGGAAATTTGAAGGCTTCTCTACACTCAGCCTCCATGGAAACTCATCACCCGACTCTCAGTTGTTTCTATTCCATCTGATTCAAAGCACATTTATTAAACACCTACTATGTGCAAGGCACCTGTTGCTCATGAAAGCCCATTTCACCACTCCAGCTGGGCAGTGCCACCTCTAGTCTCCTTTGTCCTTGTCAGGTCAGACTGGACCAAGATGGATGCTTTCTGTCCTCTGCTCTTCTTGCCTGGCTTTCTTCCATCTTCATGCCTTTGTTCACACTGACTTCTCAGTCTAGCATGGTCCCCCCACCCGTCTCCAGCTGTAGAAGTCCCTCTCTAACCTGAAGGCCCAACTCAGCTGCTCCCTCCTCCTGATCCCCTCTTCACTCTTCCCTAGATGAAGGTGGCCTCTCTCTCTCCCCTCAGATGTCTCATAGCACTCTTTCTGGACCTCCTCTTCTGCCTTTACATCATCTGCCTTCTCACCCTGGCTATTTACTCTCCTCCTATCAGGTCATAAGCTTCCTGGGAGGGCTTGGCATATACTTGATGACAACATAGCTCAATGTCTTCATATTCCTGGTTCATTAGAAACAGCATGGTATAATGAAAAAAGCACTGGATGTGATTTCATAAGAGCTGGCTCCAACACTAGCCATGTGGCCCTGGGCAAGTCATTTTGCTCCCTCTGAAACTCAGTTCCCTTATCTGTAAAATGTGGATAAAAAAATACCTGCACTTTCTATGTCATAGGTTTGCAGTGAGGAAAGTGTGTTGGAAGCCCCGTTACTTCTGTCTGTGGTCTTCCCTTCTGTTCACAAGCACATTTCTTGAGGACAGGATATGTGCAATGGTCTACCTTTATATCCTGAGTTGTGGAACTCAGGGCCTTGCTCTCAGAAGGTGCTTAATATATGTTTATTGATGAAGGAATTCCATGACGGCAGAGACTCATGGGAATGAGAACATGCTCAGGGAGAAGAACAGCTCCAATTCAAAAAACAAACAAAAAAGCAAAAAAACAAGCCAGCTCCAATCCATGGACGTTATTCAGTGAAAGAACAGAAAAGACACTGCATCTGCAGGCTCGCCCATTTACTACATGTGGCTTCAGGCAAGCCTCTGAGTCTCTCCAAGACTCAGTTTCCTCATTTGTAAAAGGAAAGGTTTGGACTAGATGATATTTAAGGTCCCTTCCAGCTCTAAATAAATCTAGGCTCCTGTGATTACCTGTGCCCCGATAACCCCAGCAGCACACTTACTGTTATACGCAGAGTCCTAGGCTGTGGTGAAATCCATTAGTTTCTTCATAGGTTTTTCCACAGGAATTACTTTATCTCCATTCATCTTCCAAAACATCTATGGGGGAGTTGAAGAGTAGGAGAGCAGGAAGGACCCAGAATCAGAGGAGGAACCAAGTCGGAGATTACCCAGTGGGGAGGGAGATAGCATGGACAGTCCAGGGAGAGACAAAAGAAGAGAGACAGGGAAATCAGAGGCAGCAAAGAAGAGAAAGGAGGAGAGAAAAAGCAATTAGAATCATTGTAGCTTCTAGGTACCATGTTGGCTATAGAATCTGAGGGAAGGGGATGGATGTCTGCCTGTTCAACCACCTAGGGCTTACCACTGCCCTCACAAACTTTCAGAATGGAGAGCTTTCTTTTTTGGTTAGATCTTAGGGCCAGAGCTGGGGGTCTGGAAAGCCATGACCCCAGCTGGATGTTGGGTAGTGGCTACATTTCTCATATATAGACATTAGCCCCTACCACAGAGGCTTGACATAGTCTGATGTGTAAGATATGTCTGTATGGGGCAAGTGCTAGGGACCTGAATGGCTTCCACTAGCCTCTTCCCCTCTCCTCTAGACAGGAGAATGAGGTCCCTCTCTGCTGTTCAGACAGACAGGTATGTCCTACTGGACAAGAGAGGTGGCTGGAACCCAGAGCCAGAAAAGGGCTGTGCTGGCTGAGGAACTCAGATGTGACCAGATCACTGAGGCCTAGCTTGGGCAAAAGCCTGGTGGGAAGAGGAAGGTGGGAGACCCTTAAATCAGGCTCTTTCTTCTTGGGGAACAATTCCTGTGATTCTCAAGTGATATCCACTCACCCTACAGCACAGGATCACCAGAATGAAGAAAATTTCTTTCCAAAAGCAGACACAGCTGTAAAATACAAAGAAAAAAGGAGAGTTGAGGATGTGAATCTGACTCCCTGGGCAGTCTCTGGGGGGGGCACTGAACAGTCATGGAAAGCCGCCTCTCTCAGAAAGGATGAGGTTCCCTGGACTTCTTGCCTGCCTAACTCCACTGTCCCCCTCCCCACATAACACTCAGCCTGGACTCCTCTTCCAGATATCACCACGGCTCTCTCCCCACTACTACCTCTCTCTCAACCTGGGCTCACATAATCCACCCAACATTTACCCAACATGCCTTCTTGGCCTGCCTGTCCTGTTCTTACATGATCAGTCTTTTACACACTTGAACACAAGTGCATACGCACGCACACATACACACACACTCAATCCCAAGACGTGGGGGGCACCTAGAAGTAAGTGGAGCATAGTTCTACTTCCTTAGCTAGGAGGCCCTCATCTCCTGCTGTTCTTACTGTTGAGGCCAGAGCCAGACCATCTACATGTGGGATAGTGAGGATGGGGGGCAGTGGGAGGAAGGTGAGAGAACCTAGTCAAGACTCCAGCTCTGGCAGATTTAAACTAGCTTTTCTGGGCCTGACATCCTGAGTCTAGTGGACCACGGTACAGGTGGAGAATCTCAGGCCATAGTCAGAGGCCCTAGATGGATTTTGGTGGTGACAGAAGAAGCACCCCTAAATCCCCAGGACCAACTCTAAGAAAACTGAACCAGAGTGATTGGGGGGAGACTGGAGGCAGCTTTTCATAATCTCTTCTGCCAGTGGCATCTAGTATAGCTGCCCCACTGGCATCTGACTAGTTATACTTCTGCCAGGGAAAGGGAAAGTTAGAGGTGCTAAGGTGGAAAGAGTAGTTGGATGTACTGTTAGAGGACCTGGGCCTCAGTTTCCTTTTCTGTAAAATGATGGGGTTGAATTAGATGATTTCTGAGGTTTTTGTTCTTTTCTTTTTTGGTGAGACAATTGGGGTTAAGTGACTTGCCCAGGGTCACACAACTAGTAAGTGTCAAGTGTCTGAGGCCGGATTTGAACTCAGGTCCTCCTAAAAGCAAAGCGAGAGCTCTAGCCACTGTGCCACCTAGCAGCCCCTTGAGGGTTTTTTTTTCCTAGCTCTCTATGATCCTGGGTTCAAACTGTGGCTGTGCTATTGACCGACTACATCACTTTGGGTGAATCACTTCCTCTAATGAAATGAAGGGGGGAGCCTTGGGTTATCTATCTCTAAGCCCTGGGAGGTTGGGGTTGGACCATTAGGCAATATCTTTGAGAGTCCAGGCTATACCTTCAGTCAGTTTGCCTGCTTGTTCTGCTGCCCCTCCGGGAAGGATTTTGGAGAGCACGCTTTCTCCATCGGCCCCAGGCTGGCCCGTGGGGGCTCCTGATGCTGGTGGGACTACCCCGGGCTTTGCTCCCACTTTTGTACCTGAGGAAGAAATTCAAAACCCTGGGTGATCCCAAACCACCCACTAGACCCTGTTGGAGGGCCACACCACCAATACCACTGGCTACCCTGAACAGGCCACCTGGTCTTGGCTTTCCCTTTTCCCTCCCTGGGATCTCAAGGATCCTAGAATATCGGGGACAGCCAGGAAGCTCTGTGTTTCTGAATCTGACCAGATGGAATGAGGATATGGAATATGATGCCAGGAGGAGAGGAGGAGGAGGAGGAGGACAGAAAGAAGAACAGGAGGGGGAAGAGGAGGAAGAAGAAAAGGATGGAGGAGGAAGATGGGAAAGGAGGAGATAAGGGAGAGAACAATAAAAACAACCCCAAAAGGTGGGGACAAAATGGGGAGGTGAGGAGAAGAGGAAGGAGGTCGGGGAGGAGCATGCTCCAGAATCCCACAAGGGCAAAGCTAAAGTTAGAAGATAATACTTCTACTTAGGGTTCCTTCACTGTGCTAATTTCTGTAGTACCAGGGTTACCTCAATAACACCTGTGTGCTTGTGATCCCCTCTGACCTTTTCTGATCCATTTGTGAATCCTTCTCCAGGGGTAGCAAATGTACCCCCAAGGACAGGAGAATTTGGCCCCTGGCTAAGGGGCCTCTCAGTCATGAATCAACAGAAGTTGGGGCTGATTCTGGTCAGGGTGGAGGCAGACAGCCTCCCCAGGGAAAGCTAGGGCTGAAGCCCACCTGCAGTGGTGGCCCCTTGTGGCTGGGCATGTGGGCCCCTCCCCTGCTGCTGCTGCTGCTGCTGCACTTTGGCGGTGGGTTTGGAGCTGTCCAGCTGCTCAGCTTTCAGCTGCAACATTAAACAGTTTCCTTAGTTAGGACCATGACTTCTGGGCACATCTTTTTCCTACCTTCCCTTCCTCCCACCCCTTGATCATTCAGGCCTGGAATCAGCCCAGAATTCAGGAACAGGCCTTCACCACAAGAGTGTGGTGTTTGGACCACAGGAGGTCAGGACATCTGTAAAGAGGAACAGGGCAAGGTTGGGCACCACTCCCTGAATCCCAGTCCAGTAGCTCCCAAGGTTCCTTAGGGAAGGATGGAGGCTGAGGGCAGGACAAGAGACTAGAGAGAGGCTGGCCAGGCCCAGAGGTAACTACATATGGGTTAGGACTTAGTAGGACAGTGTGGTATGATTTCTGGGGTAGAGAGTATAAAAGACATGAGCCCTATGAAGGAGAGGGCCTAGGATGGCTGAGGTTGGTACGGACTCCAGGGGAAGGCTCTTCTAGGCCCAAGCAGCAGCTGAGTAAGTCCATTACCCCTAGGCCAGGGAAGTTAAGGAAGCCTTGGCTCTACCTTTATAGTAGATTCTGCTGAGGAAACCTGTCAGAACCATACAAGCTAGGTCATAAGCCTGACGGGGCCTTAGCTTTCAGTATAGAGGTTTGTAAGGGCAAAAAATGGCTCTGGTATGAATCTATGGAGGGGCCTGTTTAAAAAGCTGGTTTCTCTCTGGGCCTCAGTTTCCCCATTTATGAAATCATTGTGTTGGACTACAAAACTTTGAAGGGCCCTTCCAGCTCTAAATCTTATGAACGTGTGTGATTTGAAAGCCATGTGATAATCTCCCTGAGCCTGTTTCTTTAATTGTAAAAGGAGAGAATGAAGCAGGGATTTCTGCGGTCCCTTCCAGCTCTACTAGTGTGTGGGAATCTCTGTTTCAGGCTATGAAGCACATAGGAGGGAATGGAAAACAAGGGCCAGTCTGGGGCTCTCTGCCCCCAAGGTGCTTGCACATGGCTCACAGCAGATGACTTCCACAGCAAGCAGAAGTTGTTTTGTGTCCAGTTCACACTGGGCTTCCTCCAGCTAATCCTGCTCCTGCCTACCTCCAAGATCTCTCTCTTTTAGCCAGATGGTTTGTCTTTGCAGCCCCATAGCTAAGAAGCACGCTTCCTCAGGACTTCGAAAGTTGCCCCCTGGGAAAGGGGGCTTACACAGGACCCAAGAAATCTTGGCTGTTAGGTTAATGAAAGTACCAATTATGCTGAACTGTCTCTTTCATCCAACCTGCCCCTAGACCCTCAGAAGACCTATTATTGGCCTCAACTTCCTGGGACTCCCAGTGGCTCTACCAAACATGTGGCAGCCAGGTTGGTGGGAGAGGAGAAAGTGGGGAGAAGAGGCCCTGATGGAGGACCCCAAACACTGAGTTATACTCACTGGGCCTGCAGGCTGGGCACCTGCTGACGGGGGATGGCCTGGCACTGACTTGCCAGCCTGCTGACCGGCCGGGGGCTGCTGGCCCCGGGAAGGCTGCCCTGGGATCCCCTGCTGCTGCTGCTGCTGCCGAGCTTGTGACGGTGTCTGCTGTATCTGAGACAGAGTTGGCTGTGGCCCGTGGCTCGTCTGCTGCTGCTGCCTGGAGGACTGCGGTGGCGGCTGCTGGGAAGGTCCCGACTGAGGTTGCCTTGCCTGCTGTGGCTGTGAGTGGGCCAGAGGCTCGGACTTCGGTGGCTGAGCTGAGGGGCCAGACTGCACTGGCCGCTGAGCTTTTCTGGGCTCTGAGGGATGGTGGTAGGCCACGGACTGGCGGGATGGCTGTGAGTATTCCGACTGGGAGCTGGGGTAGGATGGCTGGCTCCTTGGGTCGGTCTGCTGAGCCTTCTTCTGGGAAGAAGGCTGTGAGTGAGGTCTGCCTTCATGGCGGCCGGAGTCTCGGGGGTGTGGCTTCGAGACCCTCCGAGAAGGCTCCTCACCCTGGTGGCGGGAAGATGACGACCCCGAGGAGTGCCGGCCATAGTCCCCATGGTGCCGATGCTCTTTGGAAGAATGGCGGCCCTGGGGTCCCTCATCATGTGGCCACAGGTCCTCCTCAGGGGGCTCATCATAGTCATGATAAGTGTGTTTGACTGGGGGTCTTTTCTGGGAGGAGGAGGAGGTGTGGCCACCATGATGTCTGAGCCTTTCTGAACGGGATTCTCGGGGCTTATCAAACCAGTCTGTCTCCTCCTGACCCAAGTGATAAGCTTCAGAAACCAAAAACAGATCACAGTCAATCTCTTGTTCAGGCACCGGGAACATAGGCCAGGCTGAAGCCATGCAATGAAATGAAAGAAGGCAAGCAGCTCACCACATGCAAAAAAGAAAAGACAGAGCCTCCCCAAGCCTCGGACCCACCCTCCAGATACCCAGAGAGAGCATTACCACATGGGACACACACAGGCAGGACACGGGCAGGGCAGACACGGAACTGGGCCATGCCCATGCTGGGCCAACAGAAGCCCACAGTGGGACAACAGCATGGCACCGGGCAGGCAAACAGCAGGGGCCCCGTACTGGTTTTGCCCAAGCTCAGCTTTGAACATGCTCTGTCAGAAATCACCAAAGAGAGCTGTTACCTTCACTGTCTGAAACCACACAGTGGGAATCGTCCAGGTTGTAACCTTCGTCATGCTTGTATGAGTGGGTTCTTGGCACATCTTTGATGTGTTCCTGGACGTCAGGCAAGGAGTGACTGGAGCAGAATGGAGAGCAGCCGTCTGCAGCCCCCGGAGGGAGCGGCCCTCCTGAAGAGCGAGGTCCTCCCACAGACCTTCCTAACGGACTGATGGGGCTTTCTTCTTCAGAAGCCTGGCTACGCATGGGGGGCCGCCCTCGGCTCTGGGACATGCTCAGGGACGATGGCTTCGAGCTGGCCTTCTGTAATCTCTCCATGCTCTCTCGCTCACGCTCATAAGACTTGCCTCGGCTGCTCATGTCATGGCTGGACTTCTCGCTGCCGTAACTAGTTGATGATCTGGACCTGCTGCTGTATGCTCGGTCATCTTCCTCTAACAGGTCCCTGCTTGACACTCCATAGTATTTCTGCTGTTCGTACACATTCTTCTTAAGGCCATAGGTGATCTCATCTTGAAACTTCTTCCCTCTGGAGGACATGCTGCTGCTGACCGAGGGCGTTGTGGGGTAGGAGGCCAGATCAGATTCAACGTCTTTCGCCTCTTCGATAGGCGAGAACTTGGAGATCTTTTGTTCCATGCCTTGTTTCCGATGCTTGCTGCGCTTCGACGAGATGACGGCTGGGGCCAGGTTCTTAGAGGAGTGCTTTGGCCCTCCCATGCTGGAGCCGTATTTCTCTGGTCGAGATGAGTGTCTATAGTCACTGTCTCCATGGTAGTATGAGGATGCCCCTCCACTGCCTGACATCCTTCCATTGCTCTCTGAACTCCGGTGATAGCTACTCTTCCCGCGGTGGTCAGTGCCATGGTGATCATATACATCTTCCTCAGACTCTTCTTCCCCTTTTGGGTAACAGCAGGGAACACTGGGGCCTTCGGGCTCTCCCAGGTCGCTTTTGTCCTTTGCATGACGCCCGTCACTGCCTGGGGGGCGGGGCTCTGGCTTCTGGCTTTCTACCGCCGAGGGCATGCTGTCCTTGGTCAGCTCGTTGATGTCATCAATCATCACGTAGTTCCTAGGAATGTTCTGCTCCAGGGTGGTATACAGTGATTCAGAAGAGTAAGTGGGCCCCGGGCTCTGGCTCACGCCAGGCCTGGGGGGCTCCGGAGCCTTGTACTGGTCATAACTGCTGGTCACCGCAGGTGCGCTGTATGTGGGCTCTGAAGGGGCCGAAGACATTACAGCTGGGGCCGCTGCAATCACTTCATAGTTCGTAGGGACCTTTTGTTCCAAGTCAGCTAATGAGGTCTGCCTTGGCTTCTGATGGGAGGTGTGACTGTCAGATGGGTCTGGAAAGAGGGCATTTTGAGGGGGTGGGTGGGGAATTTGGCCTGGGTAAGTTGTCTGGGGCTGGTAGTGCGGAGCGGGGCGGAAGTTCTGCTGGCCCTGGAGACCATGTTCAGGGGGGTAGCCTGCACTTGGAGGGAAAGCAGGGGCCGGGTATGTGTTCTGAGCCGGGTAGGCAGGTACCTGGTTGGCCTGGAAGCCGTTTTGAGCAGGGCCAGCACTGCCCACAGGATACTGGGGAGGCTGGAAGCGGGTGTGCTGGAAGGCTGTGGGGGCTGGGGGGGGACCCTGCCCTGTTGGGTACTGATAGGGAGGGTAGGAGGAGGCTGACGTGTATTGAGTGGCCGAAAAGTCAGAAAACTGATTGGTTGGAGCCGTGCTCGGCCTCACGTGGACGCTTTCGTAGCCAGCAAGGCGTAAATTGTTGAGCTCGCTATCGGACATGTAATCCCGGTTTTCCCCAAGGCACCGAAGATAGGGGTAATCTCGGCCAGCGCGGTCCTTCATGAGGGACCCCTTCCTCTGAGTGATTCCTAGCTCCAGGTACTTCAGCTTGGCATCGATCTCCTTCTCCTCTTCATCCAGCTCAGCCTGCTTCTTCCTCAGCTTTGTAGACTCGTGCTCCACCAGCCTGAGGTCTCGGTCCAGCTCCTTGAGCAGGCTGGCTTTGGTCACCTGCACGGCTGGCCCTGCCAGGCCCTTCTGAAGGAGGCTGGCCATGTACATCTGGGAGTGCGCTTGGCTTGGGAGAGGCACGTGGGCCTCCTCAGGAGGGGGGCTGGGCAGCGTGCGCTTCACCTTTCGAATGAGGGTGTTAGCCTGAAATGCTGACATCTAAAGAGCAAAGGAAAGAAGCCTAGATATAATAATCAAGAGGATTTACGCAACAGAGATAAAAATACTTGAAGGATCTTGAGTTATTATCATGCTAATAATAAACACCTCAGGACTAAAAAATACCTTCCCCATGCATGCAAGGAAAGAAGGGGCCATGGGAAAAATACTGGTCTGAGTGATGGGACACCTGGGCTCTACTCCTGGCTTGGTCGCTGGCCTTAAGCAAGTCATGTCCCTGTTTCTGGGTGTCAGTTTTCCAATCCATAAAATGAAGTTCTACTAAAGATCTTTCCAGCTTTTATACTTTAAGACTAGAAAAATATCATTCTCATGTCATACCTATAAAGTGCAAGCTTTATCACTTCCATTTTATTGATGGGCAAACTGAGGCTTGGAGAAGGGTGGGGTACTTGACATTTGACTAATAAGTGGCAGCAATGTTATATAGAATCTGGTCTTCTGACTCTAAGACCATTAAACTACATTACCTCTCTACCAGTCTAAAACAGTTGAGCTGGGTTAGTGACTGTCCTTCTCAAGCTGGTCACAAAAGAAGGCTGGATGGCTACAGGATGCCCAGGCCACACTTGGCACCCAGGCTGAAGGGAGGAGGACTAAGGCAAAGTGGGACAGAGAAAGAAGGGAGTGAGAGACATGGGGTAGGCAGGCTGGGGCCAGCTCACAGTGCTCCTGGGAGAACTTTCAGTAGCCATCATCAGTGGTGACCAGGGAGGGGGTGACCTGAAGCATAAGATCACAGACAAGTGAACACTGGGTGCTTCCCAGTGCCACCTGCATAGGGTGAGCAGTGCTATGACAGGCCCAGGCCGAGCCACTCAGAGTCAGCTGCTGTGTGAGAAAGCTGTAACTGCAGGATCTCACAGCTCCTCACTCAAGGCTCCTGACTAAGAAAGAGGAACAGAGAACTGGGGCCACAGCATGAGATGCCTACATGGTGGCAGCGGCAGCAGCAGAAGTGGTGACAGTGGCATTGGTGGGGAGACCTACATCAAGATGTCTCTGCTGACTCCAGGAGTCCACCTCCCTCCCCTATTCCACAGCTAGGTCCACTGGGGACCACTTCGTGCCACACTTTCCCCTAACCAAACCTTCAATGGTGGCCAGACCAGATCAGTGGCCCTAATCACTGGGGTGAGATTCTCCCTAAGATTCAGGTGACCTCAGATTACAATGAATAGTCAATGAATATTCCCTTGGCAGGGAAGCAGACAGGAGAGGGCAGGAAGGGGGCAAACTGAGCAAGGGTAATGGGAAGGTGCTGCCAGACAGGTAGCCCTAAGCTCTGCTCCCCCTTGTTGCCTTGGTGACAGTAGGGGGCTGGGGGAGGTAAGAGAAGGAAGGGGCTACATGCTGAATGCCAGGTCTTTTTTCGCACCAGCTGGTAATGCCATCTACTCCTCCCACCTGCTCCCTGAGTCACTGCAGAGCTAGGTACCACCCTCCCCCAACCCTGAGCACAGTCCCAAGGGTAAGCACCCTGATTTACCATACCCTACTGATGGCTCTGGTCCCACAGAGGGTCCTTTTCCCAATCTGTAACCTCAAATGTCAACTCCCCTTGGGGCTGTGGTCAGGCTAAGCAAGGCAGAATATGGGGTCCCTAGATAGGCTGTCACTTTCTCGAAAGGAGGCATGAGTGGGAAGGAGATGGAGGAGACATCTGCTGAAGCTTTTTTAACCGTATGGAACTGGGGAAAAAAATGCACCATGATTACAGAGCTAAAATGTGTACCATTTTCAAAGTGAGAAGGCAAAAAGTAGGATTTGCTGCTTTCAATCACTGGCAGGGGCCCTTGGCCAGATTTCTCTTGGACTGACTTGCTTGGAAATATTGTCTGAGCTCCTGGCCTCTTTGAGGTAGGCCAGCTGGGAAGCTCTGTGGAACATGCCATATGCCAGGGTCTTGTTCTGAATTACCTGCATTGGGGTGTTCCTTTGGGGAGAAGAGTTTCTACATTAGGCTGTTTTCCCACCCATTCTGTCCTTCTTCCCTGCCATCCCAGAGGAAGAGCTAACTAACCCTTTTTTGTTCCAAGGCTATATGACTTTGATCACACCCCATTGCCTCTGGGACCTTGCTTTATCAATCACATACTCAGTCTCCTGAGTTTTCAATTTCTCTTCCCTCTGTACTGCCTGTAGACATACTCAGGTCTCCTTTATCCTAAATAAAAACTGGGATTAGAACTTGTTAGGAAAGGGTAGCATCAACATAACACAGGGGAAAGAGCAATGCTGGTATAGAAGGACCCTGAACTGTGAGCATCAGGAGACCTGTGTTTGAATCTTGGTTCTGATACATGCTAGCTAGGACCCTGGCCAAGTTACTTAACTTCAAGGCCTGTTTAATCATCTGTAAAATGGGGATACACGTACTAGCTATATCACGGAATCGTGAGAGAAATGCTTTGTCAACTGTAAAGCTCCATAGAAATATGATTTGTTATTATTATGAACTGTGTGGATGATTCGGTATGAGTTTGAATTAATTTTTCCTAGGTCATGGATGCAACTGTAACATCTTTTATGAGGTCTTTTTCTTCTTCTCTCCTGGAAAAGCAGCTACTTAGACAAGTAGGAATGTACAGGTGGAATGCCAAAAGTATCTTGACAATAAGAAAGGCTTCCTGATTGGCTGACAGTGACCTTGGAACTGTAGGAGGTGAGTGAGCTTGGTCCAGAGTGCCTAGGTGGGCCACTCCCCAAATTAGTGATGGTAGGAACAGGGGTTCTCTGGCCTCTCTCTTCTGGGGCCAGCACAGAGGTATGCTTTCCAGGCTTAGGAAATCATGGGACTGAGCTAGGCTTGGGAAACATGAGCTAGAGTATAGCTTAGCAAGCTTGGGTCCTCTCCAATCTTGGCTGAGCAGAATATTTTATACACACTTCTAATTTTCTTATCTTGGCATTTCTGAATTTATATATTCTTTTCCCCTTGTAAATAAAAACCCTAGAAAATGCACATTTGTGGGTCTAGAGTGTGTGGCAGACAGGGGGAGGAAGAGAGGAGGAAGGGAATGTCAGAACTAGGCACTGAGATAGATCTGTTGGCAGCAGGCAGGGGAAGGACTGAAAGGAATAAAGTATAATAGAGAAAAGTTCAAGAACTTAGTACCTCAAGCCAGCATGAGAGATTATCAAGGTTCACAAATGAGTAAGAGGACAGACTATCTAGGCTAAGGACAAGGCTCCCCTCAAATGGGAAGCTCTAGAAAATGAGATGCTGAACATGGAAACAGAAACAATTCCAATGACAAAGAAAAGAAGAAGCTGCCCCAAGATAAGGGTGTGGATGCACAGGGAGCTCTCTACTCAGCTTTCATTTTAAGACACATGTAGCAAGGGTAGGATGAAGGATGATTCTAAAAGCATGGCACAGCCTAGTAACTATAGTGTAACTACTAGGGCACTAAGGCTCAGGAGGAGTTGAGGTTGTAAGGAATATTAAGCATAAGAAAAAGAAAAAGGAATTCCTTCCTCCCATCCTCCCTCCTCTTTCTTTCTTTCTTTCTTTCTTTCTTTCTTTCTTTCTTTCTTTCTTTCTTTCTTTCTTTCTTCTCTCTCTCTCTCTCTCTCTCTTCTCTCTCTCTCTCTCTCTCTTTCTTTCTTTCCTTCCTTTCTTTCTTTTTCTTTCTTTTTTTCCTTCCTTCCTTCCAGAACAATAGGAGGATCAAAGAAGAGGATAGGATCACTGCTAGGGGAGATGAGAGGATGATAATAAGTGATGGAGAAAAGGCAGAACTCTTACTGTTTCTGCTTTTTTCTCCCAAGGGGAATGATCTTTGGATTAGCAATGATAAAACAAAAAACGGCTAATGGGAAATTGAAACCCAAGATTACAGGATGCCTAGTTAACCCCAATAAATTCAAGTTCACTAGGCTCAGGGTACTGAAAGAAGGGGCAGATGTGACTGCTGAGCTGAGGCCAATGGTCTTTGGAAGATCGTAGAGACTGAGACAAGCACCATAGAATTGGAGAAGAGAAGGGAATAAGGATTCACATAGCACGTACTATGAGCCAAGCATGGTGCTAAGCCCTTTTAACAAATATTATCTCATTTGATTTGGAGAAGGGGAAATATCTTAATTTTGCAAAAAGGGAAAAGGGTGGCATCTGCAAATGAGCTTGACTTCAACTCTTGGCTAAGTTTTAAAATCTATTTCTAAAGGGAATATATTATTAGAGGCAGAATGGTGTAGGGCAGGGGTTCTTAACCTATTTCGTGCCACAGACCCCTTCTCAGAATCATGTTTTTAAATAATTCAAGGAAATGCTAAGTTCCAGATAGAGTTTAGTGAAAATAAGGATGTGCTTTCTTTTCCATCCAAATTCACGGACCCCCTGAAATATGTCAAGGGGTCTATAGAATCCAGGTTAAAAACCTTTGGTACAGCGGATGCAATGCTAGGCTGGAACTAAGAAGACCTGGCTAATGTGTCTCTGACGCTCACTAGCTATGTGCCCCTGGGCACACTGCCAGACCTCTCTGCGCCTCAGGCAACTCCTTAAGGTTTCTCTACTAAAAGAAGACTATGACCTGGGTCAGCAGAAAGTTGTTCCCATGCTAGGAACTGCCCAGGGGGACAAAAATCAGAGATCCTTCTTAAATTTATATATTACTAAAGGAATGGTTAAAGAGAAGGAATTTCCATACCAGGAATTAGATTAATGCAACAATTAAATCACAGGTGCAGGTCAAACTAATTATATTAATTAATAGTATTAGCATTTATTATTAGCCATAGTCCTGGGTTCAAGTCCCAGTTCTAAACTTTTGATGGGCTTGATCCCAGCTCCTTCTGACTCATCTGGGACCTAAATTCTTCCCTCCTGCCTAAAAATCTGCTTAGATCCTCCCAGTTCTAAACAACAACAGTGACAATGACCAAAAACCCTTCCTTTGGCTCTGCCAAGTTTATTAGACAATCATCCTCTATCTCTCTTCCTGTTAAACCTCAGGAAAGAATCACCAACACCTCCTCCCTCTACTTCCCCAGCACCTGCTCAGCCTCTTGTAATCTGGCTTCCTAACCACTCTACAGAAGCTTCTCTCTCTAAAGTAACAAAAGACTCCTGAATTTCCCAATCCAATCAATCAGAAAGTACTGAGATAGGGACAAAAGAATGTCAAGGCTGTGGAATTATAAGGACATAACGGGCAGAAGAGAGAGGAGGAAACGTATCTTCCTCCTAGCATTGCAGAGGCTGGGTGTCTATGGCTATGACATATCAGAGGCAGCTGGGTGGTGCAGTGGATAGAACACTGAGTCTAGAGTCAGGACTAGACCCGAGTTCAAGTCCCACCTAAGATACTTACTAGCTGTGTGACCCTGGGCAAGTTACTTCATATCCCTCTGTAAAATAGGAATAATAGTAGCATCTACTTCCCAGGGTTCTTGTGTGTGTGTGATATTTGCAAAGTGTTTTGCAAACCTTAAAGCACTATTGAAATGCTAGCTATTATTATATCGCCTAGACTGTCGACATACCATTGACATGCTGGCTGATTTTGAGGAATTGCTTTTTTCCTCCTCTTTCTTTTTTAATCTTTGTTACAAGGGATGGCTTACCGCATAGGAGAGGAGGAAGATAAATATTGAGAAATGAAAATGACATAAAAATAAGAGACATAAATGAAAAGAAGATAAAATTTAAAAAAACCACACCAATCTAATGGACTTTTTTCCAGGCCACATGTACTTTGACCTTTTGTAGCATTTGATACAATAGCCCAATCTCTTCTAGTTATCCTCTCCTCCCTGGGCTTCTGTGACGCTATTTTCTCTTGCTTCTCCTAGTTGGCTGACCCATCCGTAGTCTCCTTCCTTGGCCTGGTCTATCTTCTTCCTTCTCTCCCCTTGTGTGACTATCTTTGGCACATCTCTCCCTACCATCTCCCTTGACGAACTAATCAGCACCCACAGCTTTGATTATCACCTCTATGCACATGATTTCCAAATCTTTATTTACAGGTCAGACTTCTTCTTTACACCTCAGTTCTACTTATTTTAAACATAAAATTGTATTGGGATCTTTGGGTTTTACATCACCTATATTTCCCTCTCTTGTTATCTGAGAGAATCATCTCTCATGAAGGAAGGAAATATAAAGAAAGGAAGAAGAAGAAAAGTTCCATAAGACTAAACTATATATCAAAAAAGTCTGATATTATATGCAGTATATCCCACACTCATGGTCCCTCATTTCTACAAAGGAGTAGAGGTGGGGGAGATGGCTTCTCCTGTCTCTTCTTTAGGACCAAAATTAGTCATTCTAATGCTGCAGCCATTTTTAGTTGCCTGCTGGCCATCTCTACCTACTGTTTTCCCAACAGTTCCAACTCAACATGGCCCAAGCAGAGCTTGTCATCTTTACCTGGCTTTCCTCCAGACTTCCCTCTTTGTGTTGATGGCAAAATTAACTAACCTTCTACCTCCTCAGGCTCGAAAACTTGGCATTAACTTTGACTTTCCCTTTTCTGTATCTCTCTACATCCAAACAGTTGCTGAGCCCTGCGAATTCTGCCTTTGCAATCTCTCTTGCATTTGTCGACTCTTCTCCATTCGTGCTATCATCACCCTAGTTCAGGCTCTCATTACCTCTTACCTGGACTATTATAACAGTCTCTTAACTGGTCTCCCCACTTTGAGTCTCTCTTCCCTCCAAACTATTTTTCATATGATCCGGCCAGATTATTCCTCAGATAAAAGCCTACAGTTGCTTTTGATGGCATATGTGGCAAGATACCAATGTCTTGGCATTTTTGGCCCTCTACCGTCTTGCTCTAGTCTACCTTTCCAGCCCCTTCACATGCTCAATATTTTAGACAAACAGGGGCACTAGCTATCTCTTGATATCCTTCCATCTTCTGTGTCCGTGCATTTGTGGAGGTTATTAATCCTCCATACTTGGAAAAATGCTTCTTCTCCATTTCTCCTGAGACCTTTCTCTTCTTTGGAGGTCTAGCCCAGATATCACCTCTTCCATGAAGTCTTCCCAATCCCCTCAGCCACACTGATCTCATCCTTTTTAAACTGTTGTCAAGCACGCTGCTTTCTTACCTCATTTGCCTATCCCATATAACATTCTACCTAATATTATACACACACACACACATATGTCTCAGTCTTCCTTCCTCCCCCTTTATACTGTATATATCTTGAGAATGGGGACTATTGTTTTTTAATCTTTGTACCCTCAATGCAAACCACAGGTCATGCAGATGGCAGCCACGCCAACAAATATTTAATGAATGAATTAGCAGAATCCAGAAGGAAGTAGCATTTGATCTTGGTCTTCAAGGATGAGTAGGATTTAAAACTGACTGAGTAAAGGTAGAGAGGTGAGAAAGCATAGAGTATATTTTGGGAAACGATGACTAAGCTAGGTCAGCAGGAGAGGTACCAAGATGTCATTAAACAAGGGCTGAATTTGGCATCAGAGGACAAAGATCTGAATCCTGGCTTTACAACATACTACCTAGGTGGTCTTGGATGAGTCACTTCATCTATCTTGGCCTCAGTTTCCCCATCTGGTAGAGATTACCTCCTCTAATGTCCCTTCTAGCTCTAAATATGTGATCCTCTTTCATCCTACAAGTATATAGCCTACAGTCTAGAGTCCACAGAGGCAAACAGTAAGAACTCAGGTTGGCACCAGACTATAGATGACCTTGAATGTTAATGTTTAAGAAACCGGACTTTATTTGGTGGGAAATAGGGAGCTTTTGAAGAATTTTAAGCAAGGAAGTAACAATGTCTTACAAATAATTATTATAATCACTTTATTAATAATAACTGACACATATATAGCTCTTTAAGATTTCCAAAGCACTTTCCCCATAACAATCCCATGAGGCAGGTGGTGCATGTATTATCATCCTCATTGTAGAAATGAGAAAACTGAGGTTCAGAGAGGGAAAATGACCCTGGAGTCATTTGGCTGGGGAGTGTCAGAGATGGAAACTGAAGCCAAGTCTCTTAACTTTAAGTCTAATATTTTTCTCATTAAGCCATACAAAGCAGTATTGTTTCTGCCTGACAAAACGGCGCCATATTTATTCATCTGCAAGTATGTATGGGTTTGCATTCCTATATAGCTTACCAGTGTCCAGGAGCACAGATTAGGAACCATTTTGTACCTCTCTGGAAGTTTACTCCTATAGACAAGCCTTTCTTTCATGTGGGACCCTACGTCTTCCTGGTGAGGTAGAGTAAGGGTGGTGGGACATGAGAACTAGGACCCCATACCTCTCCTGAGCTCCTACTATACCACCTTTTCCTCTACCCAAGCAAACATCACTGGCTCTTCTTATTTTTGTTAAAGGGCCAGGACAAAGTGCTGTTTTCCAAAACGATAGTATGCCCTCCTCCCCCCAACTTCTCTTGGCCCCAAAGCATTCTTTCAGTAGATAGGATTTCCTCTCTACTCATCCCCATCTTACCTGACTGCCCTGGAGGACTTGTTGCTGATAGAGGGAGAACCTCTCTTTGGCTGACTCTTCGGCAGTGGGGCTGATGGGCTTGGGGTCCGACAGGGACCTCTGCATGGTTTTCATGGGGCGAGGCACAGTCTGTTGGCGCTGGGCGCTGTCGGCAGTGAAATGCTTCTGTGGTGTTACGTGGGCCTTGTTCAGTCTCTCACTGGAAGCAAAGGAGGATTCCAGGAGGCGGTGTGGGGACAAGGGAGAGACAGGTGAGTAAAGAACCTGAGGAGACTTGGGGGGCTGACGGGTTACTAGCTGGGAGAGGGACTCGGTGGGCAAATGAGACTGGTAACCAATTTCTAAGGGGTCCGGTTTCTTCTTCTCAAATTTCCCAGGCCCCTGCTGCCTGGGCTCCAAGGGTCCAGTGGTGACAATCTGAATGCTGGGGGTGTAGGGGGTGATGGCTGCCGGCCCTGGGAGCTGAGGCACCACAATCCCCTGGGCCTGTGCTTCCGGCTCTGTCTGGCATGCTAGGCTCTCTCCCTTCTGAGTCTTCTCTGGGGCCGAAATGTATTTGATAATCTCCACTTTGGGGTCTGGGGTGGTGATGTGAATGGAAGGCGAGACCCTCAGCAGCTGATCGGGCTCTGTCTGTACTGAGCAGTCACTGATGGTTTGGATGCCAACACTCGACTTGCCCCCTGGCCGAGGAGGAGGAGTCGTGCTTGCTGTCGGAAACTGAGTCTGAGTGGCGCGAGAAGCGGGTGCGGCGCCGGCGGACAGGCTGCTCCCACTCAGCGTCGTCTTCGTCGTCCGTCTGGACACTGCAGTCCGCGCTCCGCCGAGCCCGGCGCCTCCGGGACATAAAGTACCGCTCTTCCCCATCCTCCTCGTCAGTCTGCACGCTGCTGTCGGTGATCTTCTTGACCACGTAAGGCTCGTGGGCCTCCTCCATCTCATAGGCATCCCGGAGGCGGGGCATCGAGTGTCTCTTCTGGAGGCCCCTGCCGGTCTCCCAGCGCTCATCCGTCTGCAGAGACATGTCCGAAGCCGAGCTGGGGAGGGGCCTCGGCTGCCCCGGCCCCTCCATGCCCATGGCCGCGGTGGCCATGAAAGCTTGATTTATCGGAGGCCAGTACTGACCATTCGGGCCCACGGTGCGCTGCATTTCTAGGGCGATCTCTGGCAAGGCTTGGGGAGGCAATCTCCCGGAGGGGTCGCACGCCGGGGGGAAGGGCGCCTTCTGCCTCTTTTGCTCCTCCAGCTGCTGCTGCAGCTGTTGCTGCAGCTGCTGGATCTGCTCCAGCTGCAGGCGCTGCTGGGCCAGCTGCTCCCTCTGCAAGGCGAACTGGGCCTGGCGCTCCTCCTGCTGCTGCTGCAAGACTTGGTGCTTGATGGTCTGCAGCTCCTGGATCTCCCTCTGTACCAGCATCTGCTCCTTCTCCCGATGCCGCTGCAGCTCCACGCGCTCGCGCTCCAGCTCCTCATGGAGCCGCAGCTGCCGCAGTTTCTCCAGCTCCACGCGCTCCCGTTCCATCTGAAGCAGGTGCTCCTGCTGCTTCCTCTGCCTCTCTTCCTCCTTCTCTTCTTTCTCGGCACTCCCTGCTTTGCCCAAGATGGTCGCTGGGGGAGCTTCTCCAGGCTGCTTTTGGCCAGGCAGGTGGGGCGGGCCTGTGCCCGCCTCTTTGGATCCTACAGCGGCTGCTGCTGGGGGCTCTTCTCGAGCGCTTCCCAGTGGCTGCTCAGTTCTCTGTAGACCTCCAGCTGCTGCCGCCACCACTGGTTTCCCAGCAGGTCCAGGGGTCACGCTGCTCCCAGCCACACTGGTGGCCAGGCCCGCCTTCCCCAGGTACAAGGGGCCGTCAATCCCAGGTGCTGTTGTGATGGCCGGGAATCTGCTTGGGGCTGGATATCGATAGAGCCCCGGCGGCATGAGGGGAACCCGGGGAGCAACCACGGGTACTCGGGTCAAGCTGGCAAGAGGCACAGGGGTAATGCTACCCGGGCCATAGGGTCTGTAGATACCTCGAACCATAGGCCGAAGCACCGATGCCGGCTGGGTGGTGATGGGAAGAGTTGAGGCAATTGGCGTGTTGATGGTAGAATAAATCATCCCGTCGGCTGCACGCACGGTGGCTGTGGAAGGGAAAAGCTGCCTGATGGCCCCTCCTCCCTGCCCGGCGGCAGGACCGTACTGGGCTAGCTTCCCAAAGCTCTGCCGGCCTTCAGGGAAGTTCGGGTTCATCATCACGTTGGGTTTAATGGCTGCCAGGCCCTGCTGGGCGCTGGCTCCAGGCCCAGGCCCAGGCCTGGGGCCATACTGCATGAGCTCCGGGCTGCTGCTGTGCCGTCCTCCGTACTGGTCCATGGAGTTGAGAGCCGCACACATGCGGCTGATCTCCCGGGCTGTGGTTGCACTATACTGAGCCAGGCTGGATTCCTGGAAGCCGGACAGGTCCCCTCGGGGCGAGTATCGATAATCAGAGTAGATGTTTGATGCTGAGCTATACCTTCTCATGGGGAGTGGGTGTCCCATCAGGTCTGGGGCTTGTCTCAGATCTGTGAAGGAGCCATACTGCATTCCCTGGGGCAGGTAGCGGCCATCGAAGCCGATGCTGTAAGAGTGCTTCATGGTTGTGAGGTCCATAGCTGAGTCTCCCCCAGAGGGGTGGAAGAATTGGTCACTTTTGTGTGGGTAATAACTCAACCCAGCCTCAGCCAGGTTGGTGTCAGACATGGACGAGTAAAGCCTTCCCGTAAGGCCATGAGAGTACAGTTTTTGCTCCTCATAGAGCCTGGGACCCGCTGCAGCCTGTTCCCTGTACGGGGATGGCTCGGGAAGGTCTGGTTCCCGGGGCCCATAAAATGGAAGGCTGCTCTGGCTGGGCTGGGCTGTGTCCACTACATTTTTCTCGGGCATCTTAGAGGAGGGATGGAAAGTCCCAGTACAGCTGCTGCTGAAGGGGAATTTGTAGACCATATCACAGCAAGCCACGTGACTCTCTGGTTTGATCCCAGTGAGGTCTAAAGCACTGGTGGGTTCTTCTTTGACCAGCTTGGTCACTGCACCAGCTGTCATGTCATCCATCTGCACCATCATCATATGAGGTTTCTTCCCACCAACGTGTGTGGGCACACTGTGCGCTTTGAGCTCTGCAGGCGTGCCCCGGTATGCATCGGAACTCGGCTCTGCAGGGTATGGCTTGATGCTAATGTTCTGTGTGGTGCTCATCTGAGTGACAAGAATATCTTTTTTAACCAAAGGTGTCATCTGGTTGGGCAGGTTATACCGGGCAAATTTGGTTTGCTGGGGACTGCTAGGTTCTTTGGGCTTTCCACGGGGCCCTCCTTGGTAAGGACCAGTCTGCACAGCCTGTTCCACATGTTTGACCTGGGTCAGACACACGGGACTTCCCGTCCCTTGTCCAAAGTCCAGTCGGTGCTGGAAAGGGTCCCCATAGACCACAGGTTGCTTTGGCTGAGACACGAGCATGGAGGAAGCCACAGTGATGCTGACAGTGGTGGAGGTGCTAATGAAGGTGTGGGTGTGCTCCTGGGCATTGAGGTTGATGATGAGAGGCTGGATCGTGGTGGACTGCCGTCCTGGAGATTGGTCCAATGTCAGACAGTATTTCCTGGCCTCGGCGGCCAGGGAAGTCAGGTCCATGCCTCGGTCGGTGATGATGATTGGGGCAGACTTCATGGCTGTCCGTAGGTCTACCACAGAACTAGTTGGTGGTTTGGGCCCTGGTTCTACCCGGGATGTCCCAGGGACTGATGAGATCCTGCACAGGGAGATGTTCTCAGCGGGCAGGGAGCCCCAGCCATACAGAGCTGCTGGGCCGTCCATGACTGGGGTCACGTGCCCCTTGGCAGCATTCATGGGGACGATGGCGCTCGAAGCGGGGGTTCTGTCGCCCTTGGGGAAGCTGTGCACTGACTGTTCCTGTTGGAACTGTGCTCCATTGACCTGTACTGACTGACTGTAGCTGTGAATGGTAGCTTGGCGTCTGGTCGGAGATGACGCTGGTGAGGTGGAAGAGCTTGCATTGACCAGCTGGGTTTGGCTGGCCGCATCTGAAGCTAAGGTGATGACCATAAAGGGAGGTTCTTGAGAAGACTGCTGCCTGGTGAGGCGAGGTGAGCCAGAGCGGTGTGGTGTCTGTGTGCCCTGAGCAACCATGGAAGATGGGGTGGAGGAAATGGGGCTCCTTGGGATGTCAGAGGGGAGAAGTGGGCTGTGGGTCTGGGTCGAGAGCTCTGCAGTAGACTTGGGCCCAATTCTGCCAATCGCAGAGGGAAGGCCCTCCATCGGAGAGGTTGGGGAGAGGGGTGGGCTTGCACTCTTGAAGCTGGGATAGCCTTTTGATGACAAAGGAGCACTGATCTTGCCCTCACTCATGCTCTGAAGCCTCTCTCTTGCAGGTAACCCACCCATGTCAGAGAAGACCTGAGCCTGGGGCATCTCTTCGGTCTGGGAGCTGTAGCTTGCGGTGGTGGGGAGTGCAGGCTCTGGGCCGGCGGGGGACATTGCAGCTGTGTAGACACGCGGTCTGCTGGCCATACTAGAAGCTACAGTTGTGACTGAAGGGGTCCCTTTGCTGTATGTGAAAGGAGCTGTCACTCCCTTGAGAGCAGAGCTGGAAGAAGCTGGGGAGCTGAGAAGCCTGAGGGCATCCTGAGGTTCTTTTGCAAAATGCTGGGTGACTCGCACATCAGGGATAAGCCGGCTTCCGCCACTGTCTGAGGAGAAGGCCATGGGCGCTGCCAGCTGGGTGGGGCTGGTGCCAGGGGTGAGGGGACCACCGTTCTGCCTCATCAGCTCACTGTAAGCACTCTCTGCATTCAGAAACTGCTTCTCCTGGTAAGTGTCTTCTCGGTCCTTCTTCTCCTCCTGGAAAGCCAGGTCTCGGGAAGAGGCCTGGTGCATCCTGGCGATGCTCTGGGACGTCTGGAGGATCTCCTCATACACGGCTCCTGCATCTGCAGCCTCAGGCTCGTAGGTGGGCTGAGAGGAGCCCAGCTGACTGGACACGTAGTCATAGCCCTCAACGTACTGGTATTCAAAGCTGCCCTGGCCTCGGTCCGTGCCCCGCGAGCTGCTGTAGGTGCTGCTGGCCTGGGCCTGCTGCCCTTGCTGCTTCTGGAGAAGCTCAGCCTTCCGCATCATCTCTTCATAGGCCTCTTCGGCGCTTTTCAAGGGCTTGCTGGAAGGGTAGCTGGTGCCGCTGGAGGTCTTCTCAGTTGGGGAGTAGAGGGACATGAAGGTGGGCAGATTGTATTCGCTCCCAGACTTGTAGAGCTTGGAGGGGCCGATCTCGAAGCCCTCAGCCTCGGAGTCGAGAGAGGGTGACGGGGAGTACTCAGAGCAGGACGATCGGTGGAGCTCTTCCATCTCGGCCGCCTGGCGCAGCTCCTCGGTGGGCGAGGCATCCTCGATGGGGGACAGGTTGCTGGGGGGGGTCTTGGACCGCTCCCGCCTCCGCTGGGCCCTGAGCTCCTCTTTATCCCGCTTGGTCTTGCGGGCTGTGCTGCGGATGCGCTGCTGCTCTACCTCCCGCATCTTTTCCTGCTCCCGGAGCAGCTCCTCCTCCTCTCGGAGCTCCTCTTCCTCGGAGGAATCCTCAATAGTGGGGAGCAGGGGGGCCGTGGGAGCGGTGCCGGGCTTTCCTCTGCTGCTTGACCTCTTCCAGTCTCTGCCGGCGGCTGGGGCTGCTGTCGCTGTCTTCTTCGAGGGAGGACAGGGACGTGGGGGGACGTGCCTGAGGTGTAGCTGGGGGTGGTGGCGGGCAGCGTGGAAGAATACTCTCCTTTGGAGCGGTCTTCAGGAGACCCGGTCAAGCTCTCCATCTCTAGCTCGGGCTCCCTGTCCAGGCTGATGTCCGCCTCCTGGCTCATCTCCATTTCTCGGCCGTAGCTGTTGGTACTGTTGAGCTCAATGGTCTTGAAGCGGCGCAGGCCCCCCTGGAGGGCCGCCACGTCCTCGGGCTCAGGAGCGCCCACGTCCTTCAGCTCTTCCTCGTAGCCAGTGGTGGCATTGTGAGGCAGCCGCCTCTTGGGTGGGGCGGGCTCCTGGCCCTGCTCCAACCCTGGCTTGGAACCGGCTTTCCTCAAGCTGTACTTTGCCCGGTCGTACTCAGTGTCATCCTCCTCCAGGTTGTCCTCCTCGGCACTCATCTCCAAAATCTGCCTCCTCATAAAGTCTTCGTCTGGACCCTCAGCCTCTCTGCCCGTGGACGGCGCTGGGAGGGGAGAGAGCCCGCCCTCACTGCTGTCTTCCACGTAGTCATGGCGTAGTTTGCTGCCAAAGTCATCGGACGACTCGGCCGTATCCCTCGCATCTCTCTGGTTCTCCCACTCGAGAGAATCTTCGTCCTCTTCCAAGATATCTTCCAGTTCCTCATCAGAGTCAAAAGCCTCAGGTGTGATAGAAAGGGATCTAGGCCTCTGTCTCTGCTTTGGTTCCTCCCGCGGCTGGGGGCGGGCCTTGGCCTGTTCCACCTGGGCACCGCCCTGGGCCTCCAGGAGGGGCCGCATGCTGCTTTCCAGTTTGTTGAGTTCTGAGGGGCTCGGTGGGCTGGGCTCCACCACCCCGGCGGTGTTCAGCTGCTCCTCTTCCTGCTGTACGAGCCCTGTGATCTCACTTTGGGAGCTGGAGATCCCATCGGAGGAGTAGCCAGTATCACTGAGGCTCTGGGGGCTCCGGGACAGGTCCTGGGAATAAGGCTTGCTTGGGTCCTGCAATGGAAATAGAAGCCATTACAAAGGAGAAGCAAAGTGAGGACTGTTGCTCCGTGGTGGGAGCACTTATGGTAGAAAGAGTCCCATGCTTTTTTTTTGTGGGGAGACCTGAATTCTAATCTGGACTCTGCAACTAAAGTTCTATGTCCTTCCCCTCCCTGGGCCTCAGTTTCCCCATATAAAGTGAGGGGGTCAGAAGGCATGTGTAGAAGGCCCCTTCCAGCTCTCAATCCTATGGCTTCTCCAGCTCTCTGAGCCCTCTGGTCCCTCCAGCCTTAAGCTTGTGTTGTCTATGCCACCAGCTTGGAGGAGAGGGGGCAGGGGAAAGGGCTGGCGTGCAGACACTCCCTGTGATTCACTCTGGGACCCCTCCCCATCTTGGGCCTGAAGGGAGGAAACTGACCTGGTGCTCACTCCCTCTCGGCGCCTCAGAGGTAGAGCTGACCTTGCTGTCGGCGAGAGGCGGTTCTGCCCTCTTGGGCCCATCCTTTGTCTTCGGGGCCTCCGTGAGCATGGTTGGCAGAGGGGATGGCTTCGGCACTTGTTTGGCTTCAGCTGGGCCGCTGGGTTTCTTCTCCTGCAGGCCGCTTGGAGGCTTGCTGGGTTCGGATGCCCTGAGGTGCTTGGTCTGTAGGCTGGGAGAGGTGTGGGGGGGTCCCGTGGGCTGCCCTGGCCCAGCTGCAGGTGGCCCCTTCTGCTTCTGAGGGGATGGGCTGGGTTGGTGTCGTGGCGAACTCGTTGGTGTCTGCTTTGGGGTAGGCATGGGCACGGGGGCTGGGTCACCAAGGCTTCCTTCCAGCAGCCTCTGTGTTTGGCAGTTCAGACACAGCCACTCATTTTTCTGCAAAAGAAGGACCAAATACAAGGCAGAATTAGTTAACCTCTCTCTGACTCAGTTTCTTCAGCTGTAAAACAGGGATAATAAAAGCATTGGCCTCCCAGGGTTACTGTGAGGATTAAACCAGATAATAATTGTAAAGTATTTAGCACACAGCCTGGCTCACAATAGCCACTGTATAAATGCTAGCCATTATTACTATTTCTTTAGCTTAATCAGTGCATATTCTCTTCCCTCTCCTTCTAGCCTCCACTGGAAGACCACCGCTGGGGGCGACTCCATTATCTCGGAGCAGCCCATCCTCCTTTGGCATAGCTCTGATTGCTGGGAGGTTTCCCCTTACCTCAAACCGAGAGCTGCCTCTGCTGCTTTCCTCATTGCTCCTTGTCCTGCTCCTCTAAGGATGAGCAGGACAAACATAACCTCTCTCCCAAATGACAGCTCTTCAAATACTCAAATACAGCCATTATCCCAATAGTGCTCACCCTCTGAGCACTCCCAATCTTCTTTCTGGAAGAATAAAATAGTCCCAGTTCTTTCCACCAGTCCCTCTATGGCCTGGTCTTAATTCCTCAATTGCAGTCTGCTTGAGCAGAGCCCACCAGGGCCTCAGCCCGGCGTTAGGATCAGGGCACACGTGTCTTGAGCAGGGAGTCCCTGTTTGCCCATCTCTCCATGGCAGGAGCAGCTTCCAAACTGGCCTTGTTCCTAGCAAAGAACACCCATTCATCACTCTCCTGTTACCTACAGGGTCTTAGACATTATTTCCTTGGGCTTCATCCAGCTCCTGTCCCCTGCTTCTGCCACTCCAGCCCTCAAATTTAATAGGAAGCTTCAGGATATTGAACTTGAGTAGGGGGACTGGCCCAGGTCAGGTAGCATGTAGCATAAAGTGAATCCTTATGTCCCCAGAAGAAACTTCAACCCAAGCAGGAGGGCTAGGTCTGGGGAGTGCAATAGGCCCATAGCCCAAAGCTCAGAGCCTAGCCAGGAGCAGAGAGAGAGCATACCCATCCCTGAGCCCAGAGCTCAGACCTAGGGTATAAGAAGAACCCAGAACCCAGTTTCTAGCCCAGAATCCAGCCTCAGAATGAGAGAGTCCAGAGCCTAGACCAGATCCCCAGAGCCAAGACCTACGTAAGAGAGCCCAAGGCCTGTAGCCCAGAATTCTGAGCTCAGCTCCAGGGTGAAAGCTGTCAGAGTTCAGACCTGAACCCTCAGTCCAGCCAGAGGGAGAGAGAGAGAGAAAGAGAGAGAGAGAGAGAGAGAGAGAGAGAGAGAGAGAGAGAGAGAGCGAGAGCGAGCGAGAGAGAGAGAGTGCCAGAGCTTGGGAGGCTAAGCCCAGGGCCCAGCCCTAGGCAAAAGATTGTAGAGCCTAGCCCAGGGCCCAGCCTCAGGGCAAGAGAGTCCAGAGCCCAGCCCCAGGGAGAGACCAGGAGCTGCAAGTAAAGACCAGGGGCTCCTGCCAGCCAAGAAGAGCTATTTTTATCTCCCCTGAGTGGCCAGAAATAGAAAGATCTTTGAGGCTTTTATTTCCTCCTGTCTCTCAGCCTCCAGGCTTTAAATCTTGTTGCTTCCCTTCTGATGGCAGAGTAAAGGTGCTTCATTCCTGCTTGGCCCAGAGTGAAGACCCTCAGGTTCGATATTCCATTTTTGTGCTTCTCTTCTTCCCATGTCCTCGGGTCTAACTCCCTTATTTTACAGATGAGGAAACTGAGGCCAAGAGAGGTCAGGTAACTTGCTCAAGTCACAAAGGTAGAAGTGATGAGACAGAAACTGAACTCAGGACCATTGACTCACAGTGCCCCTCAGGACTCTTATTTGTACCTAAAGGCAATCAGAATGGAGGAGCCGCTGCTTGGGTAACTTTGGCAACGCGGCCCTGGTTTTGGTTCAGGAAGACGTGGGCTCTAGGGCTGGCGAAGGCCACAGATCTATGAAGCTTCCAGGTAAAGCACAACTTCCATCATCCAGGTACCAACCAGGGACATCGGCTCAAGCCCAGCAGAAGCCAGGTCCTACTAGGCCAGGCAGGTTGCAGATACAGGAATCAGTGGCTCTCCCCTGCCAGGTCAGGGACGGGTCAGGAAAGGTGACTGTGATTCAGTGTCTGGCCATCTGGACCAGAGAAACAGAACAGAGGTCACTCCCTGGACACCTATAGCCTCACAGCATATCAGAACTGGAACGGACTTTAAAGATTCTGGATTTGGAACTGGATAGGACTATGGAGAGCCCCAAGCAGAGTCAAACCTTGAAGTGGGGTCCTCCTACTCCAAAGTCATGGCCCCTTATCCTACATCGCACTGCTTCTGGAGGGCAGAGGAATACAAGTGCATAGGAGTTAGAGCTGGAGGGGGCCCTGGACATCATCTGGTCTACCCTCCCTGCTGCACAGATGAGGAAACTGAGACTGAGAGCGGTGAAGGTACTTGCTTAAGGTCATAAAGGGAGTTGGCTCCTCTACTAACGGCTGTCAGGACTTCGGACCATCTGGGTATTCAAGAGCCCCCTTAGGAAGCTGGCACTCCTCCCTTTGTTCAACCTTTGAGGAGTGTTCTAATCCTGTCAGTGCCTGCCGGGCAGGATACACAGAAGCTCAGACACTGCTGGGGTGCCCATCAGGGATTCCTCACTAATGGAACTACCTCAAGGGCTTTCAGCGATATTCTCTAAACAAAGGGTTGGCTTGGGCAACAGGAGGGCATCAATTATGCATACTCATGTTACAAACTCAGGATGAGGAAGATTGAGGCATGAAGCAGGGACCAGAGGGGGCTCAGGAGCAGTGGTGGGGTGAGGGGCAGGGCAGAGCAAGCAGGTTCCTCCTGGGGGTTAAACACCAACTAAGCCCCAGTTTCTCCCTCTTGCCCTACAGTCCTTTAAGCACCTATGAAGACTTTCTCTAAGGTTGTTTTGTTCGTTTGTTTTACTAGTTGGGAGTAAAAAGTCAGTTAGCTGGGAATTCCCTTTCAAAATCAGCATTTTAGGAAGGACCCCAGTCATATTTAATCTCACTCCTACCTGGACTCTCTCTGGCCTCCTTCTCCCTGACTGTCAAACCCATACACCCAGCCCCAATATCTCCTAATAGTAAATATGCAGTCCTATATTTCCAGGTGCCTGTGATAGCTAGCTCCACCTGGCCTTCCTCTAACTCCATTCATTCAAAACTGAATTCATCTGCCCCACCAAACTGGTCTTTCCTCCCAACTACCCAAAGTCTTTCGATGGCCCCACCATCCTCCCAGCTGCCCAGACTTTAAAAATGCCCAGGATAAAATACAAACTCCTTAGTTTGGCATTCACATCCCTTTACAACCTGACTCCCTCACAGTTTCAGCCTTCCCTCATAGTATTTCTCTGATACAGCCAAACCAGCCAAATCAGGAGTGATTCTATGATTGCTTGAGAGGTATGGAGGAGTGGATAAAGCACTTAGAGGATGTGGGACCTTGGGCAAGTCACTTAGCCTCAGTTTCCTCATCTGGACAACAGAGGGTGTAGGATTAGATGAATGATAAGGTCTCTTCCAACTCCAAAGCGATGATTTCCTAGCCCTAAATTTGTGATCCTACATCCTTCCTTGTCCTTGTCCACATGTGGCCTTGAGGCCACACGTGACCCTCTAGGTACTTGGGTGAGGCCTTTTCACTGAATCGAAGTTTTACAGAACAAATCCTCTTGTTATTATTATGCATATGTTATCTATATAATTATGATTATGATTACTAGGGATATTTGTTCAATGAAGTTTGGATTCAGTCATAGGGCCACATGTGGCCTTGAGGCTGCAGGTGTCCCACCCCCTAAAGAGATTATTCTCCCATACCTAGAACCAGCTCTCTAACTATTGGAATCATTTTCTTTTTTTAAGGCCCAGCTCCTCCGTGAAGACTTTCCTGAATTCCTTCCCTCCCTCCCAATCCAGGTGAAATGATGTCTTCTTCCTGAAATTCCTCATAGCCCTTTGATGGAACCTCTCCTTATTGCCTATCTATGATCTTCCTCATATTGTCCTAACCCCCCTCTTAGATTGCATGATCTTTAAAGGCAGGAATTATGTCGTTTTTCTTCTTCGTATGTTCATCTCTGACCACAGCATCCTGAACATAGAAAACGACTAACGCGTCTTTGTTGAGTTGAATGGAATTCCTAGATAACAGAATGACAGACCCCAGGCCTACAAGGAGACTGTCTATGGACCCTGAAAAGACTGCAGAGATCCCAACCTTGCTGGACATTCCCTTCTTCTTCCCTTCAGCCTGTTCCTGGATATTGAAGGGAGGCTGAGTTTTGGAAGGGGGTGACCAGGATGGCAAGAGGATTCAAAACCAGGCCACGCAAAGATGATTTGGAGGAAATGGTGGTGATTAGCCTACAGAAGTGAAGATTTCTCCATAGAACATGATTGACACTTTCAAGGGTATAAAGGACTCCCAAGTTGAGAAGGGATTATGAATGTTTTGCTTGGCAAGAGAGCAGACCTAGAAGCAATGTTGTTAGCTGTTGCAGACAGACAGATTTCAGCTGGATATGAGGGAAAGCTCCCTGTTGAACAGAACTGTCCCAAAGTACAAAGGACTGTATCAGGAAGAAGTAAGCTCCTCGTGACTAGAGGTCATAGGATCACAGATTTAGAGCTGGAAAGAGTTTCAGCGCCCTGCAAACATAACCTCCTCATTCTACAGATGAGGAATGAGGCACTAAGAAGTTACGTGACTTGCTCGAATGACACAGCTGATAAGTGTCTGAGGTGAGATTTGAACTCAGGTCTTCCTGATGCCAAGTCCAGTGTTCTCTCCACTACTTCCTGCTGCTTCCAAGCAGAGGTTGGATTGACCATTGTTAGGGATGTTACAGAATGGATACCTGAGTGGGTATTTGTTAGACTAGATTCAATTCAACAACCACTTTTTAAGCACCTAACAATGTGCAAAATGCTGTTCTAAGCATTGAGAATATGAAGACAAAAATGAAAAAAGGGTACTTGCTCTTAAGAA